CAATGCATATATTAGATTGTCTAACATTCCACATTTTTGGTTCTGTTGATCTGTACCAAAGTATAGAACTAAGATTTTTTACTTGACAGATCTCACTTTCACTTTCTAAAACATACCACCCTTCCCCCTATACGCTAAGTAGGTGTCCATAATACTTGGAAAGCCCAGGCCTCCATCTTTATTAATTCTAGGTCTCTTGTTCTTCCATATAAAATTATTGAACGAGTTTTGGATCATGTCTAACCATGGCCTAGGGGTTTTTAAGGGAAGCATTCTGAATAAGTATGCTCATTTAGACAAGAGATATGAGTTAATAAGGTTCGTTCTACCCCACCATGAAATAATAGTATATATCTTAATGTAATTGTTCTGGTGTCTACTGCCTGTCCCTGTCGGCATTTTTATATAAGCACTGCCTTATCAGAGAAATACAGAATAAGGAGGCAGAGTTCCTGTTTGTGGTTTCTGTGGAGTTATCACAACTATTGCATTTTCGTGTTGATTTGTCATTTTGATGTTCAATACAGACAGACCTACTTTTGTTCATGTAATTGATAATAAATCCCATTTCTTTTTACCTGGAGATTGCTCTTTTTGGTTTTAATCTTCTCGTTGCTCACAGCTGCCTGTGTTATTTAATGGGGTTTTCGGATCCTGCGGCTGTTATGGTTCTCTGCTCATATTCTCTAACTGCACGTATCACCTTTGTATAATGGTGGTTTGTGGATTGAATCGAGTTTGTCACCGTTTGTGGTTCAGGCACAGCTTGTGTTCACCAGAGGAATGCTGGTTTATGTACCTGACAGCTTCCAGCACCTTGCTGCATGTATGGCAAAACAAAGCATTGCTCAATTAATACCTGGAACACTGATGCCATCTAGTGGACTTTCTTGGTAATGTTTGGCATAGGCCTTTGGCCCATTGAACCCTACGGTATTATGAATGCCCTTTTAAATGTGTCTTTGTTTTTATATTATACAAACCTTTTTTAACCTTTCCCAGACATGGGGGAGGGGGAAGATTAGGGTTTCCTTGACTCCTTGGAGGAATGTTGGCAATCCAATCTCTGGCCCATTAGAAGTAGTTACATAGTTACATAGTTACATAGCTGAAAAGAGACTTGCGTCCATCAAGTTCAGCCTACCTCACATTTGTTTTTTGCTGTTGATCCAAAAGAAGGCAAAAAACTCAGTTTGAAGCACAATTTTGCAACAAACTAGGAAAAAAATTCCTTCTTAACCCCAGAATGGCAGTCAGATTTATCCTTGGATCAAGCAGTTATTACCCTACATTGAAAGATTATATCTTTGAATATTCTGTTCTTGCAAGTATGCATCTAGTAGCCGTTTGAACATCTGTATGGACTCTGATAAAACCATTTCTTCAGGCAGAGAATTCCACATCCTTATTGTTCTTACAGTAAAAAAACCTTTCCTTTGCCTTAGACGAAATCTTCTTTCTTCCAGTCTAAACGCATGGCCTCGTGTCCTATGTAAAGTCCGGTTTGTGAATAGATTTCCACACAATGGTTTGTATTGGCCCGAATATATTTGTATAATGTTATCATACCCCCTCTCAGGCGACGTTTTTCTAAACTAAATAGGTTTAAATTTGTTAACCTTTCTTCATAGCCGATATGTTCCATTCCTTTTATTAGTTTTGTAGCCCGCCTCTGCACTTTTTCTAGTGCCATAATATCCTTCTTTAGAACAGGTGCCCAAAATTGCACAGCATATTCAATATGGGGTCTTACCAGTGATTTATAAAGAGGCAAAATTATATTCTTGTCCCGAGAATGAATGCCCTTTTTCATGCATGACAATACCTTACTGGCCTTGGCCACTGCTGATTGACATTGCACATTGTTGCATAGTTTGTTGTCTATAACAATTCCCAAGTCCTTTTCATGTGTTGTTATCCCTAATTCGCTTCCATTAAGGGTATACGTTGCTTGTGTATTCTTTACGCCGAAGTGCATAACTTTGCATTTTTCAACATTAAATTTCATCTGCCATTTGAGTGCCCAGTCCCCCAGTCTATCTAAATCCCTCTGCAGCAAAGTAATATCTTGCTCACATTGTATTGTTTTACAAAGTTTGGTGTCATCTGCAAACACTGAAACATGACTTTCAATGCGGTCTTCAAGATCATTTATAAACATGTTAAATAGAAGGGGTCCCAGAACAGACCCCTGAGGGACACCACTTGCCACCTCTGTCCAGCTTGAAAATTTACCATTAATGACAACTCTTTGTACTCTGTTTTTAAGCCAATGTTCTACCCAAGAACAAGCATTTTCATCTAGACAGATTTCCTTGAGTTTGAACACTAATCTATTGTGTGGAACTGTATCAAATGCCTTGGCAAAATCCAAATAGATCACATCCACGGCAACACCCTGATCTATACTTCTACTTACTTCTTCGTAGAACGCAATCAAGTTAGTTTGACATGACCTGTGATTCATAAAACCATGCTGATTTTTGCTGATAACCATGTTCTTCTCAAGGAATTCTTGAATATTATCCCTTAATAACCTTTCAAATATTTTCCCAGCCACAGAAGTTAAGCTCACAGGTCTATAATTTCCAGGCAAGGATTTTGAACCCTTTTGAATATAGGAACCACATCTGCCTTCCTCCAATCCTCCGGAACACTTCCTGAAAGAAAAGAATCTTGAAAGATTAAAAACAGAGGTTCACTTATTTCTACACTTAGTTCCTTAAGTACTCGTGGATGGATACCGTCAGGCCCTGGAGCTTTGTTTATATTAACTTTCTTTAGTTGCTGCAGCACCTTGTCTTGAGTTAACCAGTTACAATTATTCTGCAAGTTTTTAGTAGCAACCATTTGCAGATCTATTGCCATGGGTTCTTCCTTAATATATACGGAGGAGAAATAGTTATTTAAAATTCCTGCCTTTTCCTGGTCTTCATTAACTAACACCCCCGTTTCAGTTTCTAGTGTACCTACACTTTCATTTTTGTTTTTTTTAGAATTTATGTACTTAAAAAATGCTTTGGGGTTGGTTTTGCTCTCTTCAGCTATCATTATTTCATTTTGAAGTTTAGCAAGTCTAATTGCCTTTTTGCACGCATTATTTGCATCCTTGTATCTTTTATAAGATGCATCTGATTTGTCCGATTTAAATGCCCTTTTCTTAGTTGTAATCTCTTGTTTTACTTCTCTACTAAGCCACATTGGTTTTAATTTGTTTCTTTTATATTTATTTCCCAACGGTACATACTGAGAAATGTACCTTTCTAATATTGGTTGGAAGATGATCCATTTATCCTCAGTGTTCTTTTCACTAAAGAGTTTATGCCAGTCAATATATTGTAATGCTTCCCTTAACTTATTGAAATTGGCCTTTTTAAAATTATATGTTTTAGTATTCCCCATGTGCTTTTGTTTTTTTGAGTTTATTTCAAAGGACACTATATTGTGATCACTATTTCCCAAGTGCTCACCTACTTGAATGTTGGTCAAAAGATCAACGTTGTTTGTTAAAACCAGGTCCAGACAAGCATCCATTCTAGTTGGTGCTTGTACAAGTTGTGACATGAAGGTGTCATTTAACAAGTTTAAAAACCTAATTCCCTTTGCTGAGGCACTAGTCCCTCTGTCCCAATTTATATCTGGGTAATTAAAATCTCCAATAATTAAAGTGTTACCCAGATTTGCAGCTTTCTCAGTTTGCTCAAACAGCTGTTGTTCCTCGACAATATTAACATTAGGTGGTTTATAACATATCCCAACCAATAGTTGGTTTCCCTTCTTTTCCCCCAAGCAGATATTTACCCATAAAGCTTCCATATTTTCCTCATCACATTCCATTTGCTTAACATTTGGCTTTAAATCATGTTTGACATACAAACATACCCCACCACCCTTCTTGTTTTTCCTATCCTTCCTAAATAACATGTACCCATTTAAGTTAGCTGCCCAGTCATGTGTCTCATCCCACCATGTTTCAGTTATGCCTATTATATCATATTGTTTAGTGTATGCTAATGCCTCTAGTTCCCCCATTTTGTTATTTAGGTAAGCATACATTTAATATTATGTGTCACTTGTATATTTTGTGAATTTTCACCATTACACAGCTTCTCTGTTCTGAGATTGCCCCTCCCCCCGTTTCCACCCCCCTTATACTGTGCTAAAGCCCATCTCCTTTCTGTCCTATCTCCATTTTGTAGATTGCTATGACCCTCCCCCCCACTACTGGTTTAAAATCTCCTCCAACCTTCTAGCCATCCTATCCCCCAGCACTGCAGACCCTCTCCCATTTAGGTGCAATCCATCACCACTATAAAGGTTGTACCCAATCGCAAAGTCGGCCCAGTGCTCTAAAAACCCAAAACCCTCCTTCCTGCACCAAGACTTAAGCCACGCATTGACCTCTCTAATCTCCCGCTGCCTTTCCACTGTAGCGCGTGGCACAGGTAATATCTCAGAGAATACCACCTTGGAGGTCCTTTTCTTAAGTTTGCTACCTAATTCCCTGAAATCATTCTTTAGGACCTTCCATCTTCCTCTTACTTTGTCATTGGTACCAACATGGACCATGACCGCTGGGTCATCCCCAGCCCCTCCCAATAATCCATCCACTCTGTCGGACCCGAGCACCCGGGAGACAGCAAACTGTCCGGTTGAGCCGATCAGAGCGGCAGATTGCCCTATCTGCTCTCCTAATGATAGTCCCCTACCACCACAACCTGTCTTGCCTTCCTTACAGTAGGAACTAACAGAATGATGCTGGCGGGGCATGTCATGAAACAAATGCTAAGGCATTCCATCGATACATTCAGTTATGAAAACGGTTAGCAAATGTGTAGTTTTATTATAAATTATAGTTATTCATGTTTCAATTAACAGTAATTGCGTGGGACACCTTTGCAAGGAAACAGTACAGGGGCATGCAGATATATCCTTTTTAATTCTCTTAATTTTACCTATTTATTACTTTCTAAAATTGCCTAAAAATAAAGACTACAAATATGGTGTCCAGCCCCCACACCAGTCTCCTTATAGAAACCACAATTCCTAATGTGAAGTTACATGCAAAGAATTTTGGGAAGCAACATGTAGTGGCTAAATACACAACAGCGCAGTATCCATCTTGAAGGGGGAGGTAAGAATCTTTGGGTATAACATTCATCTTTTAATCTATACTTTTACTGGTGATTTTTGCACGGTGTATCAAAATCTATACCTTTTTGAATGTAAGCATCACTTTCACACATGTTGGTGACACATTATTTTAGTATGTATGAGGTTGAATGAGTAAAACATTTTCTTTTTTATTGTTGGTTAAAGGAAAATTTGTTTGTAATGAATTATAATTTTCCTTTCAGGGTGTTGACTCCATCAAGTTAGAAAATGGGCAGAGTACATCCTCTAAGTTGGGCCTTCCTCCTCTCACCCCGGAACAGCAAGAGGCCTTGCAGAAGGTGAGTTGTCCTCTAAGTTAATTATAGGTTTCTCAGTTTGTCCATGTGCAAATTATTCACTTTCAATTCCTGCTCCACTGAGCACAGTACCGATTTCTCTTGTTCCCAGTAAAGTTTTTTTACATGTCGTCTTTCCCTGTGAAACAACCTTGTGTGCTGTGCTCAATATTTCTTTGATGCAGAGCTTACTTTTATTACTCTAGATACTGCATTTTACTTACAGAGAAGCGCTGCCATTTTGTATTTAAAGAGACAGAAATGTATTGCTCAGTTCAATGGCTGTTTTCAAAATTTGTTAATTTGTGAATTCGTTCCCATTTCTGAGATAAACTATTTCTATAAAGCACATTCTCCCCTATGGGGACTAAAATGCTCTTTATTGCATCAATTTGCCAACTGATTTCTAATTTGTTTTAATTTGTTTCAGGAAGAATAGTTGTGTACACATTGCATGTAGGTGCCAGAGTTTCTCTGCTCGATACATTGTTACTTCATGCATAATATAACATTGTGTCAATCTCCTCTGCACCTTAGCGAATTTGCCATATTGCATGGGCAGCAATAGAGAATTCAATGGGCAGTAAGCACCTGGCACTGCCCCTCACTGCTGTGTGGTTTAACACAGGTTCCCAGTAACCCACTTTGGATTCTTGCTGCTTCCTGTCCTGTAATATATATTGAAGCTGCTTCACTCAGTTCACATCAAAGTAATAGACGTAGTGACATATCTGCTTATGTGTCTGGGGGGGTCGTCTTATGCAGTCTGATGGGATTCCTGCAGTTTAGCTCATTCAGTGCTGTCAGTGGCTCCAGTGCATTTTTTTCCATATAAAAATACAGATAATTAACAAGGCCAAGACCTAGCATTTTGTTTGGTGTACTTTAATTTCCTTTTTTATACTGATACAAAAAGCTGTGTTCCTGTCCATTGGGTCTACAATTTAAAGGAATACTATAGTCACCTAAATGACTTTAGCTAAATAAATCAGTTTTAGTGTATAGATCATTCCCATGCAATTTCACTGCTCAATTTACTGTCATTTAGGAGTTAAATCACTTTGTTTCTGTTTATGCAGCCCTAGCCACACCTCCCCGGCTCTGATTGACAGAGCCTGCATGAAAAAAAAACTGGTTTCACTTTCAAACAGATGTAATTTACCTTAAATAATTGTATCTCAATCTCTAAATTGAACTTTAATCACATACAGGAGGCTCTTGCAGGGTCTAGCAAGCTATTAACATAGCAGGGGATAAGAAAATCTTAATTAAACAGAACTTGAAATAAAGAAATCCTAAATAGGGCTCTCTTTACAGGAAGTGTTTATGGAAGGCTGTGCAAGTCACATGCAGGGAGGTGTGACTAGGGTTCATAAACAAAGGGATTTAACTCCTAAATGGCAGAGGATTGAGCAGTGAGGCTGCAGGGGCATGTTCTATACACCAAAACTGCTTCATTAAGCTAAAGTTGTTCAGGTGACTATAGTGTCCCTTTAACATCTGTGATGAAACCGTGTCAGCAGACACCCTTAGCAAATTCTCTGTTTCTTCAGAATAAACCTCACAATTTATTAGTGAAGTAATTGAGAGCTTCCCCTTTAGATTTTACCTGTATTAATACACCACTTAGTTTGGAAAACAAACATGCAAAAAACAAATTTTTCCATTGTACATATTGAAATCTGATAACATGTATTGCAAGATAAAAGCATAGGAGTGACAGTCTAGTAGCCACATTGGAATGGTCAAAATATAATTTATAATACATTATTTGTGTAGCTATGATCTCTACTATAAACCTCTGCAGCAGCATCCTTGATTACATTTTAGTTAAACTCCAGGCACACTCTGGCCACCAACAATATCCACAAAATGGCCAAGCGGGTCCTTGTTCTGGACTGGCTAATGACACTGCCAGGTGTGGAGTTAGACCTCTCGATGCCATTACATGTTCTGTGTTCCTGTCTATACTCAGTATGGTTTAAAAAGAACAAGCTTTGCAGGGGTTTACTTTGTACTTCATGTCCGAAGTGGTGATGGTGCATGGAGTAATGAGGGCTGCTGGCTAATGACAAAACACCGCCATAAAGTCCTCCTTTGTCTTTTGGAGATTTTCAAGCCTGACAAAGTGGTTCCTACTCTGATATATTTTGATTTCAAGGAATTTCCAGCGCAGTCGATGTGAGCATGTCATGGAGATTGTCTTTTCTGTAATAATTGAGTGACAATGCAACTTTAAATATATCATCCTGCAATGTGTAAAACCTAATTAATATCATCCTTCCTGGTACTGTACTAATAATGAGAGCACAGAAATTCTCTTAAATGTGTATAGTTACTGTACTCTGTATGGGAGCATAAACACAACAATAAGTTCTGTCAAATAATAGATTATATATACAGTGCTCGAAGTTTGTAGTCCTACCAGCCGCAGTCAGAATGGACCCGTCAGGTGAATTTCTATTCACCAGGGCTAAATGGCTAGTGGCAAATAGACATTATGAGCCCTCTATATGTGCTACACATGATAATCGGCTTCAAACTGACATGCAGTTACTCTTTTGTCCTATTGTAATTCTAAATGCCTTTTTTTTTTTTTTTTTTTTAAATGGTTCGAAAGGAGAAACTATTATTTTATTTTGTTCTGCTCTGAAAATAAGAAATTCCTGCCATCTTGATGTCATAAGTGTCTTGTTATTCCTAACATTTGTTTGGAGCAGGGCACACCTCTGTGACATAGAAATTTCCAATATTGTACCTTAAGCGGCAGTCAGCCAATTGCAACCTTGAAATCTGTGTTTGATGTGGCTTGTGGCTCTAAATCCATGTTCTCATACATTCTATCGCTTGACCAATACTAAACAAAACAAAATTCTATCTCCAGGTATAACTGCTCTTTTAAACGCAGTAACCAATAAAATGAGGTGTGGAATTGTGTATTCTAGTGGATTTAAATTATTGGTATGAAAATAATGCCTCCCAAATTTATTTTTAGCAATTAATGAAAATGGAAACTGTCTTTTTGTTCTAGACTTGCCCGTGTGATTGGAGCGGAAAGGGCACATAAAGAGAAAAGGCCTCTTTGCAAAGTAGTTGAGTTAGCGCAGTTACCTTTAAATGCACCATAAAACTTTGTGGTAAGCCTTATAGCTGGAGCATGATTAGTAATGGTTGACTGAAACCACATTTGGGGGAGGGGGAGGGATTGAACACAAGCGTCAGAACCTTGTAGGCTTCTCCCGCTTCTATCTTATAGAGTCTCTCCCACTGTTGGACCAGCACCGTGAGTGGGAAAGGTGACCAGGCCTCCTGGCCCAGTAGAGGTAAGGTGAGCAGGCACACGGGGGGACACAGACTAACTCCACACCCACTCTTCCCCACCCTGGATGGGTTCTGTCTGCCTTCTGGTTCTCGGTTTAGATTTGATGTTGAAAGACGAATTGTGCTTGTGATTTACAGATGTTGATCCAGCCCAAAAGCATTGTTTCCATTGGTCTCATGTCTTTCACTTTTGTGGCTTTTCTCTAGGCCAAGAAATATGCTATGGAACAGAGCATCAAGAGTGTGCTGGTCAAACAAACTATTGCACATCAACACCAACAGCTCACCAACCTACAGGTATGATGGCGGATATTGGTGCTCATTCCAGAGTCTGTGTTTGGCTTGTTTGTCGCTGGGTGCCAAGTGTCTAGTGAATTGCCTTCTATTCATATAGTGCCATGCTTTATAACTCAATATTTAGCTTTTTATAGCAAAACAATGATTTTTATTTTATGTTGTGCTTTCTCTCCTTATTGTGAATGAAAATGTTTCTATTGTAATGCTCTTTTAACTGAAACTTCTCAACAGTCAAAGTCTGGAGCTAGATTGTCCTTTCCATAGAAAGTGTGCCCTTCCCCTCCCTAACAGTCGCCCCTTTTGGTGTGTCTCTCACATCTGCTAGACCCTTTAGAAATTCAGACATTATTATATTCTGTTCCCTGTGAGCGCTAGTTTAATGGCTGCAGCTCCCATGTTTGAAGTCTATTGAGCTCACTTTTGGTTGCCCCCAAGAATGTTTACCCCCATTATGTCCCTTTCCTAGTTTTCTACCAAATTTGTTTGTTTTTTTGTGACAATGGATGTTAGTAAAACCATTACCCAAGTGGGAAGATAAGCTGCTCCCTTTATTTCATTGCAGGTACTCTGTTACTCTTGTCTGAATCTTGAACAGAGACCATATTGAGCAATTAAATCGCACACAGAAAAGAAAGCTGAGTTTTCTGAGCTCCAACAGACTGAACTCTGTCTTTACTGTCTTTCAGATGGCAGCAGTGACAATGAGCTTTGGAGACCCTCTCTCACCTTTACAATCGGTCAATAGAAATATTCACTTCTTCTGGGGCACAACCTGTGTGGGAGGAAGGGGAGGGTGGTGGAGGAGGGATGTTTACCTTTTTCCTGTTTTTGTTTTCCCCAGGCCTGCTGAGGGAGGGGGGAGCCATTGGTCCTTGATGGGGCATCCTGTATGGGTACAGGTCCACCAAAAGACAGAATATAGTTAGTGATGTGAAAACCCAAGTGGAGATTTGCGGCTGCTCTGTTCTCCTCAATTCTGTGGCCAGTGATTCAACCAGGGTTGTCAGCAGGCTGTGCAAATCCACAAATGATATATTGCTCATCCTCCGGAGCACACACAATTTGTGTACGCCTCCAAACATGTGTGTGTAACTTATTGCTAGTGAGCAATTGTAATTATGTTCAGAAAAAAAACAAATTGGGATTTCACATAATTTTTTTTAGTGACTGTTTATATGTTACATTTTTAAATATTTCCATGAAAAGGTTGCATATTATACCAACTACTTTTCATAGGAACAGTGAAGGTATGGGATAAAAGACTGTCATTACATCCTCAAAACATTCGAAGAAAGGCAAGAACTATTGAGTTTTTTAGAATAAAGTTGCATATGAACTGTTTGGCCACACTGATCCATGAACATGTCCTTGTCATTACCACACATTGATATAGATTTGCTGTGATTGTGTGGGCCGTTTTTTATTTTATTTTTTAATTTTTTTGAAGGGGGTCTGTAATTAAACTTTGTGGTTGCTAACATGTTCACCAAATAACATTCTAATTTTATTTATATTCCTGCCATTTATAAAGTTCTAACATATTTTGCAGTGCTGTATAATTGGGGGGAAAAGACATTCAAAAAAACACACAAACCAATACAAAAGGTAAAGAGGGCCCTGTCCGTGAGCTGACATCTAACCAGTGAAGTACTTAGAAAGATAGCCGTGAGCTTACAATCTAGTTTCTTAATGGCAGAAAATGTTATACAACGTATCCTCTTTGTACTTACTTGCATTGACAAAAGGGATATGTTTAAAAAAAAAAAGAGCCATTTATCTTAATCTGTGGTATGAGAGCGGATATATGTTTTGTTTTGAAGTTTATTTCCTCCTAACAGATCCTTACCTTTTAGTCCTATGAGAGACTGACCCATATACAGGTATCTCTGTTATGTGTAGACTGACCCTGTAGTATGTCTCATTAGTAGATTTCGGCTGTATAAGGAATTGAGCCATAGTCATCTTACCGTCAGTGCACTAGATGAGTAAATTAACTAGCACTATATGCTATATCCAGTCTATGCTGTTACCTCTTTAAATGCTGCCTTCATCACTACGTACAGTTGCCCTAATTATCCATTTGAATCCCAGAAAAAAATGCAGATTATTGGGCATTTAAGTCTCCCAGCTGTAACGGTTACCTGATTTTGAACTAGTTCTAGGTAGTGCAGGTTTCTCCGCATCCCATTCATCTTCTCCTGTGTCTGGGGCTTGCTTTTACCAGCTGATAGCTCTATTCTTGTTTATCCACCAGTATCTTCTCTTAAATATGGGGTAACGTATAAAGCGTAATTCTGAGAGAAAACTCTGAAAGTGGAGCGGTCACCATGGAAACCAGTGGAAGGACCCGCAGATTGCTCTATTTTTATTTTTTACTTTGAGTTTCCAAATCACTATTGTATGCATAATCCCAATAGTCTGTACAGCATGTTTTTAAAGGGTGGAATATCTGATTTTATTTATTGAGCTTTGGATCGCGACTGGGCCTCCACTTAGTTATTGAAGACCATATAAGTAGAAGTGGCATTGGCACCACATCTGAACCATGTTTCTGGTAGATTGTACAACCCAGTCTGGGTATATACCCCATCATTACTGATTAACAGTTATCATTCTGATGATGACAAGATGCAGTGACTGTTACTTATTGTGCGGTTGTTCATTAGAGGATTAGCAATGCACTTTGTGGTCTCGGGGTTAGCTAGAATAGTAAAAAGATAGGTACCGATAAAACATAAGTGTCACACATAAAATTAATATACTTATGTTGTTAAATAGCAGGAATCTTAAAAACCAATGATCGACCTAAAAGAAAGCATATAGAGCCAACATAGTGTTAAACTGTTATGAGAGTACACTTGTATATACAAATGGAGCCAAACTCACGTGATGCAGAGCCGTATCATGCTCTGTATATAATGCAAAAAAGGAGGCTGTGGGATACTGGTGGTTGGCTAGGAGGCTAGGGTACATGGTGTGATACTGGTGGTTAGCCAGGAGGCTAGGGTTACATGGTGTGATACTGGTGGTTAGCTAGGAGGCTAGGGTACATGGTGTGATACTGGTGGTTAGCCAGGAGGCTAGGGTTACATGGTGTGATACTGGTGGTTAGCCAGGAGGCTAGGGTTACATGGTGTGATACTGGTGGTTAGCCAGGAGGCTATGGTTACATGGTGTGATACTGGTGGTTAGCCAGGAGGCTAGGGTTACATGGTGTGATACTGGTGGTTGGCTAGGAGGCTAGGGTACATGGTGTGATACTGGTGGTTAGCCAGGAGGCTAGGGTTACATGGTGTGATACTGGTGGTTAGCCAGGAGGCTATGGTTGCATGGTGTGATACTGGTGGTTAGCCAGGAGGCTATGGTTACATGGTGTGATACTGGTGGTTAGCCAGGAGGCTAGGGTTACATGGTGTGATACTGGTGGCTAGCTAGGAGGCTGTGGGATACTGGTGGTTGGCTAGGATGCTAGGGTACATGGTGTGATACTGGTGGTTAGCCAGGAGGCTAGGGTTACATGGTGTGATACTGGTGGTTAGCCGGGAGGCTATGGTTACATGGTGTGATACTGGTGGTTAGCCAGGAGGCTAGGGTTACATGGTGTGATACTGGTGGTTAGCCAGGAGGCTAGGGTTACATGGTGTGATACTGGTGGTTAGCCAGGAGGCTAGGGTTACATGGTGTGATACTGGTGGTTAGCCAGGAGGCTAGGGTTACATGGTGTGATACTGGTGGCTAGCTAGGAGGCTATGGGTTACATGGTGGGATACTGGTGGTTGGCTAGGGGAAACATGGTGTGATACTGGTGGTTTGCTTTAATGCTATGGGTACATGGTGTGATACTTGTGGCTAGCTAGGAGGCTGTGGGTTACATGGTGTGATACTGGTGGCTATCTAGGAGGCTAGGGGGAACATGGTGTGATACTGGTGGTTAGCTAGGAGGCTATGGGTTACATGGTGTGATACTGGTGGTTAGTTAGAATGCTAGGGGTACATGCCGTGATACTGGTGGTTAGCTAGGAGGCTAGGGGTACACGGTGTGATACTGGTGGTTAGCTAGGAGGCTGTGGGTTACATGGTGTGATACTGGTGGTTGGCTAGGGGTACATGCTGTGATACTGGTGGTTGGCTAGGGGTACATGCTGTGATACTGGTGGTTGGCTAGGGGTACATGCTGTGATACTGGTGGTTGGCTAGGGGTACATGCTGTGATACTGGTGGTTGGCTAGGGGTACATGCTGTGATACTGGTGGTTGGCTAGGGGTACATGCTGTGATACTGGTGGTTAGTTAGGATGCTAGGGGTACATGCTGTGATACTGGTGGTTAGCTAGGAGGCTAGGGGTACACGGTGTGATACTGGTGGTTAGCTAGGAGGCTGTGGGTTACATGGTGTGATACTGGTGGTTGGCTAGGGGTACATGGTGTGATACTGGTGGTTGGCTAGGGGTACATGGTGTGATACTGGTGGTTGGCTAGGGGTACATGCTGTGATACTGGTGGTTGGCTAGGGGTACATGCTGTGATACTGGTGGTTGGCTAGGGGTACATGCTGTGATACTGGTGGTTGGCTAGGGGTACATGCTGTGATACTGGTGGTTGGCTAGGGGTACGTGCTGTGATACTGGTGGTTGGCTAGGGGTACGTGCTGTGATACTGGTGGTTGGCTAGGGGTACATGCTGTGATACTGGTGGTTGGCTAGGGGTACATGCTGTGATACTGGTGGTTGGCTAGGGGTACATGCTGTGATACTGGTGGTTGGCTAGGGGTACATGCTGTGATACTGGTGGTTGGCTAGGGGTACATGCTGTGATACTGGTGGTTAGTTAGGATGCTAGGGGTACATGCTGTGATACTGGTGGTTAGCTAGGAGGCTAGGGGTACACGGTGTGATACTGGTGGTTAGCTAGGAGGCTGTGGGTTACATGGTGTGATACTGGTGGTTGGCTAGGGGTACATGGTGTGATACTGGTGGTTGGCTAGGGGTACATGCTGTGATACTGGTGGTTGGCTAGGGGTACGTGCTGTGATACTGGTGGTTGGCTAGGGGTACGTGCTGTGATACTGGTGGTTGGCTAGGGGCACGTGCTGTGATACTGGTGGTTGGCTAGGGGTACGTGCTGTGATACTGGTGGTTTGGCTAGGGGTACGTGCTGTGATACTGGTGGTTGGCTAGGGGTACGTGCTGTGATACTGGTGGTTGGCTAGGGGTACGTGCTGTGATACTGGTGGTTGGCTAGGGGTACGTGCTGTGATACTAGTGGTTGGCTAGGGGTACATGGTGTGATACTGGTGGTTGGCTAGGGGTACATGCTGTGATACTGGTGGTTAGGTTAAGGAGAGCTATCGTTGAGCAGAAATGGGGTAAGGAGTTTACATTCCAGAACTGTAATCTAAAGGAATGGTTATGCATACACGCATTGCCCTTTCAGTGTTAATAATGAAGGGTGTAAGACCATTGCATTTGTCGTCTGAGAGTAGGGCTTGCTCTGCTTATGTACTCTGTAATGTATCTATAAGTAGAAGAAAGCACAAATCTTGTGTTCTACCTGACATTATTTTAAATTGTGTGGGCAGAGGCAGGGTAATAAACAGGATTTCACTCCTTATAGCAGTCCACATGTAAAAGTTACTTTGGGTGATGGGACTGTTTTGTAGAGTCTGCATATCTGGGGACATGAACTGTCTGCATTGTGTGAGTCTCTGAACTTGAAGCCTATCCAGCACAGTGTTGCATCTGTATGCCTTGCCTCATTGTGAAAAATTCTTTAGACTGAAATAGCAGTGTACGACCTGTAAGAGTTTCATAGAGCACTGTCCAGCTGGAGAAGCCCACAGCCAGCAGGTAATTGATCCTGTTCACTGTCACTGTAACCAGCTTCCTCCCCCTGCAGGTCAGGAGGCCTAGATGCGGCCAGTTGCTGCCCAACACTGGCAGTGCTTGAAGCTGGGAAGTGGTGAGAACATTGGGATGCAGTGGCCTTAGGTGGGGGATGTGGTGGGGCCTGAGGCAGGTGAATTGTTTTTGTAGTGAGACTGGCAGAGCTCAGTCAACATCCTTGACTCTAACAGCCTAGGTTTCTTTGTTGCAGATGGCGGCTCAGAGACAGCGAGCTCTTGCCATTATGTGCCGTGTGTATGTTGGCTCCATTTACTATGAGCTGGGAGAAGATACCATACGCCAAGCCTTTGCTCCCTTTGGGCCTATTAAGAGCATCGATATGTCCTGGGACTCGGTTACCATGAAGCACAAGGTTGGTTTAGCAATGTCTTTGGGCCCATTTGTAACTACTTAATATAATATGGATCACTACCAGTTTAAGTCTAATTGGGCCTGCTTGGATCCACAACTGTGCATACTAATTATGAAATGCTTGAACTTCGGCTCAGAATTTCCATTTATGTATGTATATAGATGTATGTATATATATTTGTGTATATCATTTTTTTTATTTAAAATTTTTTTTTTCCTCTTTCATTTTATTTTACAAAACCCGAACACGCTTTAATAGTTAATATGTACTGACAGCTTGTTGGTGGAAGAATAAATCTAATTGGTGCAGCTAAGAATGAATTTTAATTATTTCTTGCGAAAAAGTCTGCATTAGATTTTTATTTTTTTTGCGTTCTATTCAATCAACATCAGAAACTTGTATACTCGAGTCCTTTTTTCAATCTATGTAACAGACATTTCCCCTTGAATTGTGTATTTATGACCTGCTAGTGGCAACTGTTAATGTGAGCATATAGAAGCATATCATAAAACATGCCAAGAACGGTTTCTTAGAAGATAGAGAATTGGGTAATTTCCTGATTTTGGTATTCCACTTACTCACCCGATCTCTGCTCTTGTATAGAAAAAGGCCCTAGCACGACAATATGGAGAAGGTAGGTCAAAACATGACGTGTAACCAGTTGTACCTTTTATCTCCTTATCAGGGTTTTGCTTTTGTGGAGTACGAGGTACCAGAGGCTGCCCAGCTGGCCCTGGAACAGATGAACTCTGTCATGCTTGGCGGCAGGAACATTAAGGTAAACACAATACCCATCTGTGTAGGTGTATTATTTTTATTAACCGTTTTTGTATTAATAAATACATTACACTTACACATTTTTCCTAGTTTTTTATCACAGCCTGAGAAAAGACAGTGTCTTAAATTTTTAATCTTAATCTAGTATTATAATGTTATAGATAACTATTCCTGCAGACTGACTTGGTGGGAAAGTGCCATTTATTTTAGCTAAATATTCCCAATATTTGAGTTCAGTGTATCTCTAGTTATGTCATCCTGTGTTCTGTTTGTACCTGGTGGAGCTCTGTAGTAATCAGTTATAATTTTTTTTTAAGGTTGGCAGACCCAGTAATATTGGCCAAGCCCAACCCATTATAGATCAGCTGGCTGAGGAAGCTCGCTCATTCAATAGAATCTATGTGGCTTCTGTGCATCAGGATCTGTCAGACGATGACATCAAGAGTGTGTTTGAGGCCTTCGGAAAGATCAAGTCCTGTATGCTGGCACGAGACCCAACTACTGGCAAACACAAGGGTTATGGCTTTATAGGTAAGAACAGCTCGATTTGGTACCCCTATTGTAATTATAGGTAAGGACAGATTGATTTGGTACCCCTATTGTCTCTTAAACATAATAAACCTAGGGTATGGCTTTATAGCTAAGGACAGCTCGATCTGGTACCCCTATTATCTGTTAAACATAATAATCACAGGGTATGGCTTTATAGGTAAGGACAGCTTGATTTGGTACCCCTATTGTCTCTTAAACATAATAATCACAGGGTATGGCTTTATAGGTAAGGACAGCTCGATCTGGTACCTCTATTGTCTCTTAAACATAATAATCACATTAATAATCACAGGGTATGGCTTTATAGGTAAGGACAGCTCGATCTGGTACCTCTATTGTCTGTTAAACATAATAATCACAGGGTATGGCTTTATAGGTAAGGACAGCTCAATCTGGTACCCCTATTGTCTCTTAAACATACTAATCCCAGGGTATGGCTTTATAGGTAAGGACGGCTCGATCTGGTACCCCTATTGTCTCTTAAACATACTTGTCCATTAGGCTGACCACAGGGTGTAATTTACAATAACCTTCGTCTGTTCTGTCATTCTGCCTTGCAGACATTGAAGTCATTTTAGCTTCTTTGTCTAGATAGGTGGTAGAACTGTTAATTTACAGAAATTGATGAATTATAAAGATTGCTTAACTTAACACTTAACACTCTTATTGATTACTGGAGCTCTTTCATGTTCTAACAACTGCAGGGCAGTGTGTATAGAACTCTACTAGTGGCCCAGTTTAGCTCTGATTACATTCCAGGACTTTAACGCAAGTCCATATTGTTTCATGCCCATTTTCAAATTTCAGGCTATTAATCAGACTTACTATACCACTGAGGAAGGAGTTTTACTCTCTGCATTTGCTGGTGTGAGTGTTGTAGAAAGGCTGGATTCTCTTTAGCGCCGCTAGAGAACACACACCAGTTGCTCCATGTCTCCTATAATTAGAAGGGCATGCACAATCTCTATTGCCATCACAAGCCAATTGGTCCATTTCTTTTCTGTTTTGGTGCAACATTCAATTTATTTTCCCTGGTATTTATTCTTTGTTTTTCTTTTTATGCTGATAGTATTTTATATACTGGGCATGAGGTTCCCTCCGGAGTAATTAACCTCACGCTCCATTCCATCCTGTAAATGTATTTTAGTAATACATGCAGCTGTGACTTTTTTCCTTCCTTTCTACTTATGTGGCTGAAAACTAGTTATTGAGCTGAGGTGATTCCCTTTTTGTTACGTTGATCAGTGACACTCTGACACCTCTCTCTGGACCACATGAGTTGTGCATTTAATATGTTGTAGAAAGTATTGGTTGATCTAAGCATAAAGTTTATTTTCAGTGTTTTGGCTGGGTGATGCTTTCCTAGGGTTCAGTGTGTGAGTGGTTAGTGTTTATTTAAACCTGTGTGATGTCTGTCTAATTGCTGGAAAAATGACTGAAGATCAGCAGTCACAGATTGGACTTCCTGGTTTTCAATCACGCTTTACGCACTCCTTTTCTTGCAGAGTATGATAAGGCGCAGTCTTCTCAAGATGCTGTCTCCTCCATGAATCTTTTTGACCTCGGTGGCCAGTACCTGCGTGTTGGCAAAGCTGTCACACCACCAATGCCTCTACTCACACCTGCCACGCCTGGAGGATTACCCCCTGCAGCAGCTGTGGCGGCAGCTGCTGCTACTGCCAAGATCACTGCCCAGGTGAGCGCCTCTCTGATGTATCAGGTTCTGTGTTGTGCTGCCTGATTACTTTAATTCTGTTTTGGAACTATCAAATACATTGGTCATGTTTTCCCAACATCTAATAATGTCAGATACATATTGGTTCACCTTTTTTTCCTGTCCTATTGGCTGTGAAGTTTTTTATTATTCAGTGATTATGGTTTTATTTAAAGCACTTCAAGCCACGTTTTGAAAAGTCTCGGCCAGCATAGTTTAGCGTCTCTCCTTCTGGAGACCTTGAACACACAGCCCTATTACAGTTGACTCCCATTTAGTGACCCTGGGTATGACTTAAGATCTCTTGAAAGAGGAGTCATTATCAAATTGGAGCAATTTAAATTGAGTCCAAGAGAAATGGGATTATTTAAAAGTTGCACTGCTGAAGGCATTAGGCTTGTCAGTAAAAGCAAAAAATTCAAGAAACCACTGTGGTACTCTGCCGATGTTGCCAAATCAATAAAAAAACAAAAAGTAAGCATTTAGTAATTATAAAAAAATCCCAGAGTGAGGAAGACAGAGGCTAAACAAGTTATAAGAGCTTCCAAATCACACATAGAAGAGAAAATAGCACAGTCAGTAAAAAAACAAAAACAGGGGGGGTGGGAGGGGGACAAAACATTTTTTAGATATATAAATGAGAAAAGTAAAACAAGGATTAGTTAGATTAAAAACAAAAGAAGGGAAGGTATGTAGAAGAGGATAAAGGTCTAGCTGACTGCCTCAATGAATATTTTTGTTCAGTATTTACAGATGAAAATTAAGGAAAAGGGGCTTAGTTAGGAAAAAGGACAAATGAGTCATTTGTTACATGGGAGTTTACAGAGGAAGAGGTTCTATTTCAACTGTCAAATATAAAGACAAATAAGTCAATGGGACCTGATGGAATACACCCAAAGTTATTAAAGGAGCTTAGTGGTGTACTAGCAAAACCATTAAAAGATTTATTTAAGCCATCATTGTTAACAGGAGTAGTCCCAGAAGATTGGAAGTTAGCGAATGTTGTGCCCATTCACAGGAAAGGTAATAGGGAGGAGTCGGGCAACTATAGGCCAGTAAGCCTTACTTCAGTAGTGGGGAAAGTAATGGAAACCATGTTAAAGGATAGGATTGTTGAACATCTAAAATCACATGGATTTCAAGATCAGAGACAACATGGGTTTACTTCAGGGAGATCATGCCAAACTAATCTTATAGATTTTTTTTTGATTGGGTAACTAAAATTATAGATCAGGGTGGTGCAGTAGACATTACTGACCTAGATTTCAGTAATGCTTTTGACACTGTTGCACATAGAAGGCTTATCAATAAACTGCAATCTTTAAGTTTGGATTCCAATATTGTAGAATGGGTATTGTAGTCAATGGAGTATATTCGAAGCATGGGATAGTCACCAGTGTGGTACCTCAGGCATCTGTACTTTAATATTTTTATTAGTGATATTGTAGAAGGTCTTGATGGTAAGGTATGTCTTTTTGCTGATGATACTAAGATATGTAACAGGGTTGATGTTCCAGGAGGGATAAGCCAAATGGCAAATGATTTAGGTAAACTAGAAAAATGGTCAGAATTGTGGCAACTGACATTTAATGTGGATAAGTGCAAGATAATGCATCTTGGACGTAAAAATCCAAGGGCAGAGTACAGAATATTTGATAACCTCAACATCTAAAGAAAGGGATTAAGGGGTGATTATTTCTGTTGACTTAAAGGTAGGCAGACAATGTAATAGAGCAGCAGGAAATGCTAGCAGAATGGTTGGTTGTATAGGGAGAGGTATTAGCAGTAGAAAGAGGGAAGTGCTCATGCCATTGTACAGAACACTGGTGAGACCTCACTTGGAGTATTGTACGCAGTACTGGAGACAGTATCTCCAGAAGGATATTGATACCTTAGAGAGAGTTCAGAGAAGGGCTACTAAACTGGTTCATGGTTTGCAGGATAAAACTTACCAGGAAAGGTTAACATGTATAGCTTGGAGGAAAGACGAGACAGGGGGGATATGATGGAAACATTTAACCCCTTAAGGACCAAACTTCTGGAATAAAAGGGAATCATGACATGTCACACATGTCATGTGTCCTTAAGGGGTTAAATACATAAAGGGAATCAACACAGTAAAGGAGGAGACTATATTTAAAAGAAGAAAAACTACCACAACAAGAGGACATGTGACGGACCACCTGGCACCCCAACCGGGTGCCTCTGTCAATCGATGCTCCTTGTGCTCACCGAGCACTCCACCCGACGCCTGCAGCACTGTAAACTCCACGTCCAGCGTTACAGCTTGGCTGGGAACTCGCTGTCCTCCACACACCCTGGACCCACGATCAGGATCCAGCTTCCAGTGGGTGAACCTCTCCTACTCCAGAGAGCGTAGCAGGAACAGCTCTTAAAAGAGCTAGTGATTTATAATCCCATGGGAGTATAGAGATATAGCAATCCCCATAGCAATACAGCTATTTCCCCCACACATGAGATGAGACTCTATGTTGAGGGTGTGGCGAAAGTAAGTTCCCCACTTGTACTTGGAGGGGTACTTTTATGTGTTTTTACAGTACATTTTGGGGTTTAATAAAATTGTATGTTTTTCTGTGCGTGGAGATTATTGGGTTAGATTAGTACAGTTCCTGATTCAATTATCTCCCAAGCACAGAGAAGGGATTCTATTGTTCGTGTATGGGAGTGTCTCACTGTATGACTGTTTTTATTGGTTTAGTCACTTTGTGTCCCTGTGCCCAACAAGGTCCACTTGGGTGTCACCCTTGTTGGGAAACTTGCATAAAAGGCCAGTGTGCCTCCATTGTACCCTCAACATAGAGTCTCATCTCATGTGTGGGGGAAACGGCTGTATCATCCCTGGGGATTGCTATATCACTATACTCCCCAGGAATTCCCCAAGAGTTGTTCCTGCTATACTTACCGGGAGTAGGAGAGGTCTGCGCACTGGAAGCTGGATCCCGGTCTTGGGTCCAGGGTGGGTGAAGGACTGCGAGACCCCGGCGCAGCTGCATTGCTGGAAGTGGGGTCTGCAGTGCTTATGGTGTCTGGTGGAGTGCTGGAATTCCTCGGTGAGCACTAGGAGTGCCAGGCGGTCCGTCACAGAGGGTAAGCAGGAACTCAGTTTTATTGGTGCCACACTGGCCTTTTATGACAGTCCCCATGCAAGGGGTACGCCCACATGGACCTTGTTGGGGACAGGGACACAAACTTACAAACCAATAATAACAGAGTTACAATGCATGACACTCCCACATACAATACAATAAGCCTTCCCTTTTACTTAGGAGATAGTCAACCATTCTACTAAACTCAATTATCACGAAACACAAAAAAGAAACTTTTACAAAACCCTCAAAATACACACAAAAGTTACATCCCCTGATAATCCTGATCCCGGTGACCAACATATCCAATAATCACCCAGATCAGTTCAGTGGTTCAGAAATTTTATGAAAGTCATTGTTTTTACCGACCGCAGGCATGGTCCCATAGCTGAAAATAGTTCCTTAGAATAGCGGCTAAGTGCTGCTGGGGAACCGACCGGGAGCCGCAAATTTTCATGCCGAAAATAGTTCCAGGGTATTTGCGGCAAAGTCCCCCTGAAATCTATTTGCGGTTTTGATCCATATGAACAAGATGGCTGCCACTACGTGTTTGAATGCCATTTCGAATGGCTTCGGGAGTTCGAAGTGCAGCTTCGGGAGTTCAAATTGTTCCTGTTACAAGTCCCAACAGGCACAAATAGGGTTTAACACAGGGGCCACAGTCACAGGGTAGGAGGCTGGCAAACAGGCCCCTCCAAAAACCAGTGGCGAGGTCACTTTAGCCACATATCTTCCCCCCACCCCACCAAGGGTAGACTAACCAGGTACCTGACCTCCTGCCGGTCGGTGCCTGAGTTAGTCGAGTAGCCCACCCATAAGTAAATAGTGGACCTTGTGACTTCTGTAGCCCATCTCTGTCCTGCATGTCCCCAGAGGTCAAGTGAGCATCTGGTACTCCTGGTCTCCCTTGTACTCCCAGGTATGTAGTTGCAGGTACTTGGTGGGCAGAGGCCAGCGGCGTTGTGCCCTGTAGCCAGCGGGTCATCCGATCTTGGACGGAGGACAAGTGGAGGGCCGAGGCCAACTTCGCTTGGCCCTGTTGCCAACGCTTCTGCTGGGGTGGCCTGCGTGTATCCAGGCCCTGGACAAAGGGAAATTGAAGGGCAGAGGCCAACTGTGCTCTGCCCTGGTGCCAGCGCTTCTGCTGGGGGTCTAGTATGTAACTCCTGCCCTGTAACAAGGGGGCAGGTAGGGCAGTGGCCAGCAGCGCTCTGACCTGATGCCAGCTCTTCTGCTGGAAGGGGGTCAGTGGATATTGTAGTCCCATCCACTAACCCCAGGACCCGTTGGGAATTGGCTGTGGAGAGGAGGGATCGCCTACCTCCTCCTCCTGGCATTCCTGCAGTGTTGGTTGGGGATCTGGACCGGCCGTCCAACATCTCTGAAGGTCTGGTGAAGAGACCGCAGTCCCATCTGCACCATTGGGGTCAGGGGTGCTGTTCCCCTGTAATGGGGAAGAGGGACCAGCTGTCTCCTCTTCCGGTATATCTGGCTGCCACTGGGGATAAAGGACCATATGCTCCTCTCCCTGTAATGCATGCTACCGCTGGGGAGAGAGACCGGATGTCTCTTCTCCATGCTGCCGCTGGGGAGTAGGACCGACTGTCCCCACTCCCGGTAAATTGCTCTGCCGTTGGGGTGGAAGGACAACACCTCCCTGTACTGCACACTTCCACTAGGGAGAGAGACAGACTGTTTCTTCTCCCAGTAACATATTCGGCTGCTGGGGAGTAGGACCGACTATCCCTACTCCTGGTAACTTCGGCTGTAGCTGGAGATCTGGGTCGGTTGCACAGCATGCTTGTAGGACTGGTGGAGAGACCTCGATCCCATCTCCACCTGCCATCTGGAGATCTTTCCAAGACCAGTCTATGAGGTCCCCTACTTCTGTAGCTCAGCCAGGTCTTCCCACCTGTAGGGTGGCAGATCTGGGTCTGCCTGCTGGGTAGATTGGGGTCTAATTGAGCTGAGCTACCAACTACAGTGAGGGCATGCATGATTGGGCTGACGCCAACGAGACCTGACCTCCCTGGTAACAATGGAGTGGGAGTTGGAGCAGGACTACCAGGTGTTGGTAGTCCTGCTCCAGCTCCCACTCCATTGTTACCAGGGAGGTCAGGTCTCGTCTCACCTCGTTGGTGTCAGCCCAATCATGCATGCCCTCCCTGTAGTCATAGATGTCCCAAAATCTAAACTCATCCATGCAACTGAAATCACTGTCCTCCTCCATGGCATCCCAAAGTAGACCAGGGCCATCATAATAATCATCCTCGGGCCTGTTATGCTCAGACATCCAGGGGGCATGGCGAATCGTATACCACCACAGCGCCTGGTATGCGTCATCTAGCCACGTCTCCTTCCATACCAGGCTCTTGACCTCGCCACAATATAGTCTTAAATTAGAGCGGGAAAAAAATCAGGAAGTATTACTTTACTGAGAGGATAGTGGATGCATGGAATAACCTTCCAGCTGAAGTGGTAGAGGTTAACACAGTAAATTTGTTTAAGCATGCGTGGGATAGGCATAAGGCTATCCTAACTATAAGATAAGGCCAGGGACTAATGAAAATATTTAGAAAATTGGGCAGATTAGATGGACCGAATGGTTCTTATCTGCCATCACATTCTATGTTTATGGACTAGGGGTGCATAAGGAAGCCCCTACGTTAAACATTAGGTTTTCAAAATCCCCATTTGCCAGGACGGCAACACAGACCGGCAGTAAATAATCTGCATTTATCCTGGCTGCTAAGTTGATTCTTGTTGTGTCTCAGGTATGTTTATCAGTGGTATAAATTATTGGTACTAGTACAAGTATGGATATTTTACTGTTACTTAATATGGGACTTCCTTATAACACATTTTGGAGGTTTATTGGTGAGCATCTATGCAAGTCTTATTCGCCTTGATGGATGTAATAAGTAGTGCTTCAGTCCACTACCTGATCAGAAGCTTGCTTCATTTATTTGTGTAATGTTTATTTGGAATTTGACCACATTTTCTCTCACCCTTTCCTACAGGAAGCAGTAGCGGGAGCTGCTGTCCTTGGGACCCTCGGCAGCCCTGGTCTGGTGTCTCCAGCCCTGACGCTGGCACAGCCTTTGGGTGCTTTGCCCCAAGCTGTGATGGCAGCTCAGGCCCCAGGAGTTATTACAGGTAAAGATCATTAAACTTCAGTCTCCTATATAACTAGGAAAATGCATACAGATATATCTGCCCATTACCAGAGTGACTGATGTATCTCATACTGCACATCCTTCCTACTTAATGTGCACAGAATCCCACTATATTATTCATGTGGGTCAGGATTGAAATATACTTTGTCTGTAATCTTTATGCAACATCCAGATGAACATTCACCACTTTAAGTTGTAGCTAAAAAGAGGAATATTTCCCACTCACTCAAGGCCATCAATCCTGCTGCAGGTAGAGATTCTAAGTAAGCACAGTATACTTAATACAACCTGATCGCTGTTGGTTCTATTTCCTCAGGTGTGACTCCTGTGCGCCCACCTCTTCCAGTCACCATCCCACAAGTCGGCCTGGTGAATCCCGTCCTTTCAAGCCCTCCTGCACTTGCCCAGCTGGAAGTAAAGAAAGAGAAAGAGGAGGAGGAACTCCTGCCAGAATCTGAAAGGCCAGAAATGCTGAGCGAGCAGGAACACATGAGCATATCTGGAAGCAGTGCCAGGCACATGGTCATGCAGAAACTCATGCGCAAGCAGGAGGTGAGAAGAACCCCAGCAGGTTCACATGGCAGTTAGTTGGGGCACCTCTGTAGTGTTACAAGGACAGCGATTGTCTACTGCCCTCTTCTGGTTGAACACCAGTGTTCTCAATTTGCTACATGATGAATGTGTTTTGTTTTTTTATTCTATTAACAGTTTTCAGAGTTATTCAGAGGGCTGAATTTCAGAACAAATGTGGTTACAAAATCTTACGCATCTACAACTGCCAAAAAACACCCGTGCTAAAGTTTGTCCTTAGTTTAGAAATACCCAATGTTAACATGTTCTTAGCTTTTTTTGAAAGTTATAGGGCAATAAGTACAAGTAGCACTTTGCTATTTCCAAACCATATTTATTTCTTCAAAATCAACGCAAGTTACATCGTAACACTATCTGTCAGGAATCCCTGAATAACCCTTCACATGTATTTATAATTTTTTAAAGAAGACAACCTAAGGTATTAAACTTGGGGTATTTTGACTCTTTTAATGCAACAACAATCCTACAGAAATCTTACATTTGCCCAGTGGCAGCACAAACTGTAAGCAAAAGGTAAAAATGTTATTTATAATGCATTCTAAAGTCTAAAACGTTTGTTTTAATTTTGGAGTTAACATATCCCTCTATGGATTACTCATAAATGGTGCTAATGCCTGAGTTTTGCAGTATTTCAACTTGTTACAATTCGCCATTGTTTGAGAATTCTGTAAATTTGATTAAACTGAAATTTGCCGGGAGACAGCAGGCAATTCTAATAAATTGTTATAGATTATTTTTCAGAATACAAATCAGCATATAAATTCTAGTAGACTGTATCAGTTTGTTCAAAATAAGTACCCCATCCTTCAATTGTAATATCAATACTGAAACAAATTATGTGAACCTCTTTACTGGATGCCTCCAAGAACAAAAAAGGTGATGGTTCTACAGTAAGCACAGAAGCCTGGCTTGTGCTTAATTTGAGATAATTTAAATAGAAGGGCCCCACCAAAATGGCATTGGAACACAAACATTGGGTCTGTATATCAAAAGGTTAAGAACCACTGGTGTAATAGGGTGGCTTTTTATGTTTATTACTGCACGAATTGTGACCTTAGCTCCTTTATCCTCATGTTTATATCCTTTTACAGTCTACTGTGATGGTTCTTCGTAATATGGTGGACCCTCGTGATATCGATGATGATCTTGAGGGCGAAGTGACAGAGGAGTGTGGCAAATTTGGTGCAGTGAACAGAGTGGTCATATACCAGGAAAAACAAGGAGAGGAAGAAGATGCAGAAATTATTGTTAAAATCTTTGTGGAATTCTCAATGGCCAGTGAAACACACAAAGCTATTCAAGCATTGAATGGTCGTTGGTTTGCCGGACGGAAAGTAGTTGCTGAAGTGTATGACCAGGAGAGGTTTGACAATAGCGACCTTTCGGCATGAAACCTCTCAAGACTCTTACCTCCTCCCCATTTGTCCGTGTACTGTTTATTTCAGTTTTATTTCTTTTATATTATTTGTCCTATTGTCGTTGTCTCAAAGTAGAAACTGGTCAATAAAATGATTTTTGTTTTTTTTCTATTTTGGATGAATGTGCCATTATTTTTGTGTGCGAGATCCTGAGGTCTTTCACAGAGATGTAGTTTAAACTCTGTGTACTAATGGGTGCACACTGCTAAGGACAGAAGATTGTTTTATAAGGCAAAGAATGGATTTGAGACTTGACATGCTGTAATTAGAGTATGGGCTGGGGTATGGTATGAACTCACTCACTTACATCTCTAAAAGGTTGAGTATATAACAATTAAAATAATTTATTTAAACGTTTGATTATTTGCTTTGTTTCCAAGGTGTTTGTTATTTTACCTTGTATTGTATATTTTAATATTTTTTGTTCCATTGCTGATATGGATTATTTTTAAAAGGCTATTTTTGTTAGAAGAGAGCAAAGTGGGATCTATTGAACATACTTGATCTCTGCTTGTCTCAGGGAGGGACCTTTACATAAAACTATTATCATTTTACTGGTTTGCTTATACTCTATATCTGTGATATCATAGAATGGTGTTTGTTCAGAGAATCTGTTGACTCTGGCCGCATATAACAAGCTTTGAAATCTCTCGATTTGGAGTGGTAGAAGATCCTATTATAATCCCTAGTTTGCATAGGAAGAAGATTTTCTGTTGGTGAAACTTTCCTGACTGTTCCTGCTTGATGTCTGAATATACCTGGGATGTGGAATTTTCATTGCTCAGGCAACGCCATTTTAGGCAAGCAGAGATTTTTTATGGCTATAGCCCTGTTGCATGGCAGTGTCAGGACTGCTACGTGGGACAGGTGCAGGGTTATTGCTGTTGCAGAGGGTGTAGTGGCTGCTGCAGACTCTCTCAGTACAGTACTTAGAGTGCATCTGCCTGTATTCCCAGTGTCAGGACCCTCCCCTCCTCCCCCCCCATATTGGCATAATGGAGATTGAAATCTCCCAAATCCCTCACTGTTTAAAAAACAAAAAAACACTCCTGCCCATGAGTGGCGGGTGGGAACCCTAAGTGACAATGGGGGGGGGGACACCTATTGTCCTCCTTCCCCCCCCGACCACCACCCATAGGGTTAAGTGCAAAAATAACACCCCCCCCCAGGGGTCCCAAAGATCCTAGTCACCCCCCACCTAAATAAAGCCCTACATATCCCCCCTCACTCTAAAACTAGTGAGGGGGGAACAATAAAACTAAATATCCGTAAATAAAAAAACTTACTATTTGATGTATTTTTTTTTTTCTTCTTTTAAAACCTTCCTTTTTCAGCCCCAAAAAAGGCCTAATAAAAAAACATAATACCCGTCCAAGGTATTAAAAAAAATTCCATCTACACCCAGCGCGGGCACCACGCAGAAGGAGCTCTGCAGGGCGAGGATAGGCTTATAAAGCCTTCCCACACCCTCCATTTTGGCTCAGCACTCTCATTGGTTGGTTGAAGCCAACCAATGAGTGTGCTCTGACAGGTAAGTCTCTACATTTGGAGAGCAAACAATGGGTCGCAAGAGTATTCTGAGAACGGACAGCAGCTAAAATAGCCTGCCCTTCGGTGGGTCCCCGCTCAGAACTCAGGCTGGTTTTAGCTCAACTTGTGCCATTACAGAGAGAACATATCTGAAGCATATCATGGTCCCACCCATACGGGCAGTCCAGAGCAATGCCACAATGCACGAGAGATCGCAACCCCAGACGATCGTTTCAGCCTTGTTAGGCATCGTCTCTACATTTACCTGTCACAGCACTCTGATTGGTTAGCTTTAAATCCAGCCAATCAGAGTGCTCTGTGTCATTTTACACAGCGTGGGAAAATTCCAAAGAACTTTACCTGTCAGTCTCTTCACTTACCTGTCAGAGCACTCTGATTAGATGGCTTGGAATCTAACCAGAGTGCTCTAAATCATTTTACACAGCGTGGGAAAGTTCTTTGGAATTTTCCTATGCTGTGTAATTGGACTCATAACCCTCGGGTTGCGTGTTCTCATTTTGGGGATATGTGACCGCAAGTAATTTTACATCCAGAATATAACTGACAATTGTAGATTATGCTAACATGGTGTACCTATAATCTAAATTTTAATAATGATAGGAGGTGAGTATTTTGCATAACTTTTTTTACTTATACCTCCAGCAGCACAAGTCAATCAATAAACTTTAAACCAATCAGTAACGGGTATCACATCCATTTATAAAGCCTTGACAGACACATGACTTCCTCTTTCTTTAATGCGAAAAACAGTCTATACCAACGTCAGGGAACATAGCCAACGTCCTGAATAACATGTAGAACTCAAACTTGATCCCAAATGTGATGTATTCCAGCTTGTCCAAAGCTGATTCAACCAATGATGATCACACTGAAAAGAACAGAAACAAGTGAAAGGTGATGGAAACTAACTGTTGTCCACATTAAAGGACCACTCTAGGCACCCAGACCACTTCAGCTTAATGAAGTGGTCTGGGTGCCAGGTCCTTCTAGGGTTAACCCATTTTTTTTTTTTATAAACATAGCAGTTTCAGAGAAACGGCTATGTTTATGAATGGGTTAAGCCTTCCCCCATTCCCTCTAGCGGCTGTCTCATTGACAGCCACTAGAGGCGCTTGCGTGCTTCTCACTGTGATTTTCACAGTGAGAGCACGCCAGCGTCCATAGGAAAGCATTGATAATGCTTTCCTATGCGACCAGCTGAATGCGCGCGCAGCTCTTGCCGCGCGTGCGTATTCAGCCGACAGCTCTGAACGAAGGAGGAGAGCTGGAAAAAGGTAAGTTTAAACCCCTTTCCAGAGCCCTGAGGGTGGGGGCACCCTCAGGGCACTCTAGTGCCAGGAAAATGAGTGGTCATTTAAGTCCAATACTACTATATACAGTATATATTTTATTAATTATAATGTAACACATCATACAAACTTCTAATATGTAACAAACAAACAGATTAAATGGACATCAACCAGATTAAAACCTCATATATTCAGAAGTAGATATGAATTACAAAATACGATACTGTGAAAATGGGAAACCGTGAAAACAAAACTTCCCAGAGTATAAGGAGGGAAAATACTCACCTCCTGCCATTATTAAAAATAAGATTATAGGTACACTACATTAGCATCAGCTACAATTTTATCACATGACAGGAGGCTTCATATTTTGCATTTTTAACTCTGTGGTATGAATGAGAAAGATGCGTGTGTGCTCTGACGAAAATAAAATATGCGAAAGGTGTCTTCCTGTGTCCAATCTGCCGCATGTAAAATATCCGATAGAGAGGCCCCTGCTGTGAAAGCCTGAGAAGCAGCCACACCTCGTACAGCGTGAGCACCAAAACACGTGTCCACCCCTGCCAGGAATAAAAGCCAACAAACCCATCTACACACCCTGTTCCAAATTATTATGCAAATTATATTTCTCTCATTTACTTAAATAATTGATGTAAATAAGTCAGCATAATTCTCATGTTATCAACTATTAAGAGTACAATTCAAATTTTATTGAACAAACCTAATAATAATGCACTGTTCCAAATTATTACGCACAGTAAGTTTCAAAACACTTTATTAGTTGTAAAGAACTGAAAATTGTCATTTGTTGTGTTTGCAGCATATTTACTGAAATCAAAAGCTATTTCAATCAAACTTATAACATTTTAACAGGTCACGTTACATTTTAACATAGGACCCCTTATTTGATAGCAGATTCACAAGTCCTGCATCCATTGAACTTGTGAGTTTTTGGACAGTTTCTGCTTGAATTTGTTTGCAAGATGTCAGAACAGCCTCCCAGAGCTGCTGTTTGGATGTAAACTGCCTCCCACCCTTATAGAACTTTTGTTTGAGGATGCTCCAAAGGTTCTTAATAGGATTGAGGTCAGGGGAGAATGGAGACCGCACCATGATTTTCCTTTTATCCCCATAGCAGCCATTGATGTAGAGGTATTCTTTTCTCTCGAGGATTCTCTCTACGTACATACGCCTATTTCCTGGCCATATCCATGGCAGCACAACAATGGGTAGCTCCTCCCCTATCCCTAGTTAGACAGGAACTAATTAAAATAAGGGTACAAATACCCCCTCCTACCTCCTCCTCCCTCAGTCTTTTTGTTCCTGTCCTATCCCTATAGGACCAATTAGTCTATCTTCAGGACTATATTCACTTTTTCTTTTATGGCTTACCTGAGGGTTTTTACCTTCTGCCCCCAAGGAAGTTCAGCCTCTCTTCCTTGGGAAGCTTCAGTATCCGGCCCTGTGCAAAGGTGTCCCCCTGAAGATACCCCCTTAGTGACCGGGGGTTCTACTTGCAGTGACCCTAGGGGTAGCAAGAGAAAAAATGCCAAATAAATCTGATTCCCTGCAGTGACCAAGAGGTAGCAGGAAGTGGCGAGAAGACCTTATCCTGGATGGATTTCTACATATGGAAGTACACCCCACATGTATGTATGTACAAATACTTTATACATATATTCTGTATATGTGGGTTTCTCCCCCCCCACCCACCTATGATTTCTTTTTACCTTGCTTCAATCTTTTACATGCCTTCTCGTGCAAGCTATGTCCACGCGCACGCCAAAATCGGCGCTTGGGTTCCGGCTGCTGTGGGAGTGCCTCCTGATCGGAGGATGCTTCCGGGTTTTTGCCGCGCATGCGCAGTTAGCGAGCGGTGAAATCGCTCGTTCTGAGCATGCACGGATAGGCGGTGACGTCACATATGACGTCACACGCCTATTTAAGCGCCAAAAGTGTATAAATAGGTTACCTTAGGATCTCATTAGGTCTGTAGAGAACCTGTTTCATACAATTTTCTACTTTGAATAGCATTTAATTATTGCAAGAAATATTTAAAGGTAAGTTTTTCTTCTTAAAGGTATATACACATTTTTTCAATTTTTACATTTTTCTTCTTCCTTTCTTTCTATAACAATAAAATTACTTTTCTAGACTGTTCGGAATCATCTCCAAAATGGAGAAAGACAAAAGGAGATCAATTTCTTCTGATTCGGACTCTTCTGGATATAAAAATAGGTCACACTCTAAGAGTTATAGGTAAGCCATATCATATCATTATTTCTTTCTGGTATATGATAGATAAAGTAAAAGAGTGCTAATATGAGATATTTCCCTATCATGATAGTTCTACGGGAAAGAAAACAGTGAGATCATCCAAAGGAAAATCTCCAAAGAAAAATCAATGCGAAGCCTGTAATAATAAACCGCTGGAGGGCAAACGGTTATGTGCAGAATGTTTATCGGAAGCGGCTGGAACATCTAATCCTTCAATGGAATTTGTACAGTTCATAAAACAAGCGGTGACTCAAGGTATCAAAGAAGCAGGTGCAAGTCACAAAAGACCCCGGTTACATGAACCTTCGGATTACCAACATCATGATTCGTCAGATGAATCCATGGATATGGAATCATACCAGGGGAATTTCTTATCTTCAGACGAAGAAGAAACTCAGGCTCCTGCAGATTTTCTAGAACCTGCTCAGATAGACCACCTCATTTATAAAGTCTGTAAATCTTTGAGCTTGAAGGAGGCAGTTGCAGAGCAGTCAACCTCTTATCGTTATTTCTCAGACTTGAGAAAGAAAAGAGCAACCTTTCCAGTACATGATACTATCAAGGAATTAATTAAAGACGAGTGGTCTAATACAGATAAGAAGCTTTCAGCACAAGGCAGAATATCTCGCCTCTATCCTTTTGACAAGTCTGATTCATACCATTGGGATAATGCCCCTAAGGTGGATGCGGCAGTAGTTCGACTCGCAAAACATACCACATTACCAGTAGATGATGCAGGTTCATTTAGACACCCAATGGACAAAAAGATGGATCTGCATCTCTCAAAAGCTTATGTAGCAGCAGGGACTGGTTTTCACCCTGCAATAGCCCTTACTTCAGTGTCCAGGGCCTTAAAAATCTGGATCGAAAACTTGGAAGAAGATATCAGAGATGGGAGAAACAGATCTTCTCTTCTGGAAAGATTAAATGATATTAAACTGGCCGTTGACTTCACCTCAGAATCCTCGGTGGACATGGTGAAAGCTTTAGCAAGAAACATGGCTCTTTCAATTTCAGCTAGAAGAGCTTTATGGCTGAGATCCTGGTCCGCAGATTCATCATCAAAGTCTAGTCTATGCGCCCTTCCTTTTCATGGTGAGATGTTGTTTGGTAAAAATCTAGATGAGTGTATCAAAAGAGCTGCTGAAGGTAAAAAAGCCTTTCTCCCACAAGACCGGAAAACCCGTGGATCCTTTCGAGCCAGAAGATACTCTGAATACCCCTCTTTTCGAGATACCAGATCTTATAAACCGGGAAGAGAATATGGAAGATCTATTCCATGGAGAGGAGGACATTCATCCAACAGAAGAGGAAAGTCTAGAGGTTCATCATTTCACAAGAAGCCTTTATGACAAACCCACCTCCCGTTCTGGAGGAGTAGGTGGCCGTCTACTACTATTCCAGAATATGTGGAAACATTCGACTCAAGACAGATGGGTGCTAGATATCATACAAAGAGGTTATCTTATAGAATTCTCCACAAGGCCGCCACCTCGCTCCTTCCAGAAGACAATCTGGCCAAGAGATGTAGAAAAAAGAAATTCCCTAAAAAGGTTTATCTCATCCCTTCAAGAAGATGGAGTTATCGTTCAAGTTCCAAGAGCTCAACGGACACATGGGTTTTACTCCCATATCTTTCTCACCAGAAAATCCACAGGGGGATGGAGACCAATATTAGACCTAAGCAGACTAAACAAGTTCCTAAACATAAGGAAATTCAAGATGGAGTCTCTTCAATCCATTATAAAAGCAGTTTTTCCAGATCAATGGCTCATGTCAATAGACCTGGCAGATGCATATTTCCATATTCCCATAGCACCCCAGCATCAAAAATTCCTCAGATTCGCTGTGGAAGAGGGTCATTTTCAGTTCCGTGCTCTCCCTTTTGGGCTAAGCACTGCTCCGCGTACTTTCTCAAAAGTTCTGGTGGTTCTAATCGCAGAACTCAGGAAAAAAGGCATTGCAGTATATCATTACCTCGACGACATCTTGATTCTGTCAGAAAGCAGAGATATCTTAGAGGATCACGGCCTGATATGTATGCAGTATCTTCAACAACACAGATGGAAGATCAATTTCTCCAAAAGCAACCTAAACCCATCCCAGAGCATGATATATCTAGGAGCATCATTCAACACTGCAAAAGGTTCTGTCCAACTATCCCCAGAAAGGGGTATGAAAATTCGGAGAAAGGTCAAAGACATGTTAGCATTCAGTGTTTCCTCAGCAGAGAAAACTATGAGCCTCCTGGGATCAATGTCCTCCACCATAGGACTAACAAGATGGGCCCAATGGAGAATGAGGCCTTTCCAAAGGAATTTCCTTTATCAATTCAAGGGCAATCTGTCTCAACCTATAACGATCCCTCCTCACGTACAAAAATCCCTGAAGTGGTGGACTCAGAAAGAGTCTCTCTTCAGAGGTTATCCCTTAGGAAATGTTCCATGGACCATCGTCACCACAGATGCCAGTCAATGGGGCTGGGGAGCCCATCTTCAAGACAACTATGTTCAGGGGAAATGGGCATTCTCAACCTCCAATACCCCTTCAAATCTTCTAGAACTTCTGGCAGTTTTCAAGGCTCTGATGCACTTCCAACAACTTTTACTCCACAAGTGGGTCAAAATCAGGACAGACAATGCCACGGTTGTGGCATATATCAATCACCAAGGAGGGACGAGAAGTTGCAAAATGATGAGAATTATGAAACCTTTGATGTCCTGGGCACAAATGAATTTGGAGAACATATCTGCAATACATCTCCCAGGAACTCAGAACTCTGTGGCAGACTTTCTCAGCAGGGTGAGATTAGACCCGGGAGAATGGAGTCTATCAGACATAATATTTCTACAGATAGTAGAAAAATGGGGTCTTCCCCAGATAGATCTAATGGCAACAAGCAACAACAGAAAGGTCAAGAACTTCTTTTCGAAAATTCCGGATCCCCAAGCCATAGGAAGGGACGCATTGACATGCAGTTGGAACTTCGACCTGGCTTATGCCTTTCCTCCGAAACCCCTCATCTTCCCTCTGCTAAGGAGACTACGACAGGAGAAGACATCACTGATTCTAATAGCCCCCTTTTGGCCTCGCAGACCTTGGTTCCCGCTCCTACTAAGTCTGTGCAAGAAGGATCCATGGCATCTTCCAGTTGTCCCATTCCTGCTCCATCAGGGTCCAATTCATCATCCAAACCCAGCATCCCTTCATCTGATGGCATGGTACTTGAAAGGGAAGGGTTAAAGAACAAGGGGTTTTCAAGATCAGTAATCGAGACACTTCTTCAAGCAAGGAAAAAGTCCACTTCATCCACTTATTACAGAATATGGGATGTATTTTCTTCATGGGCCAGTTCAAGACCCTTTTGATATTTTGAACCCTTCAACTACTGACATTCTTGATTTTCTACAATCAGGTCTAGAGAAGGGATTGAGTTATAACACTTTGAAGGTACATATTTCAGCCCTCTCTGCTTTAACTAATCATAGATGGGCACTGGATCCGGACATAGCAAGATTTCTGACTGCAGTACTCAAGATCAAGCCACCCATTAAGTCTATTACTCCTCCATGGGATCTCCCTCTGGTTCTGAAGACTCTTAAAGTAAATCCTTTTGAACCTATGGCATCTATTTCCTGTCATCTCCTCACGAACAAGACAGTTCTACTAGTAGCCCTAGCCTCTGGTAGAAGGGTATCTGATCTTCAGGCTCTTTCGGCTCGTGAACCTTTTACGATATTTCATAAGGACAGAGTCATCCTAAGAACGGTTCCAGAATTCCGCCCTAAGTTAACTTCGGAGTTCCATATGAATGAAGAAATAATCCTTCCAGCATTAAGTTCAGAAGAATCTAATAACGGGGAAGACACTGATGGCTATGCTATCGACCTAGTAAGATGTCTTAATATATATATACAAAGATCCTCAGAATGGCGTAATTCGGAAAGGCTTTTTGTTATTCCCAATGGCCCTAGGAAGGGTCTTCAAGCTTCGAAAGCCACTCTCAGCAGATGGATAGTTTCTGCCATTATCCAATCTTTTTTTTTTAATTTGTATTTTATTAGAGGTTTAATGCTCATAATACAACAGTGTCATAGTATGGGAAATGTAAAGAACTGCAAAACAAAGTTTCTGTAACAGTCCATGATGTCAGTTTTAAAGCGCCTATTGTTGGTTACTCTGCAACCTCAGGTTCCTTGTGACCCTTTGTTACGGCACTTCTCAAGCCCGTATTAATGCAGACAGTCCCGTTTTCAAAGGTGTTTGTGGGGTCTCCAACCTTGCGCTCTCTGTGAGCTAAACATCTGGGAGAGGAATGTCTCTAGTTATAGCTAGAATGGTATAACATCTGGAATTGGATTGGATTTCTGGGGCGTATAACTTGGTTTATGGTTTTCCCAATCAGTATGGTGCCGCGTATATACTCTATCACCTGGGAGTTGGTGGTGTGCTAAGTGAGTGCTGTGGTAAGCCGCTTAGGTGAGTAATTGTCTCCTCGGTAACGTTGCAGTGTGGTGACTCTTTGTGGGCCCTGGTTTGCTCTGTGCGTCCTTTTGCTTCCAGGTGTCGGCTTCTCTGGGTTCTTTGTTTTCCGCCTCTTGTCTTCTCAGCTGGCGGAGAAATTGTGCCTGGTCATCCGCGGAGGTAAGTGTGAATGTCCGATCTCCCTTCATTGCTGTTAGGGATCCATCTGCCCCCCATCGATATTTAACTGCCTCCGCTCTCAATTGTTTAGCCACTGATGCTAGTTGTCTCCACTCCGCTAGGGCTGCGAACGGGAGGTCTCCATAAAGGGAAACACTGTGCTGCCTTCGAATTGAACGTTTCCCAGTTCTCGGGAGCGAGCCATGATCGCTGAGCGGGTCTGTATATCTTTCGTGACCGCTATGACGTCCCTTGGGGATTCTGCTGGCGCTGCAGCGGCTTTGCGTATTCTAAATGCGGTTACTATTTTGTCTGGTTCGGTGTGCAGCCTTATTTCCATTCTGGTGGTAAGGCGGGATATGTACCTTAACAGGGCTTCGTCCCCAATGGTCTCTGGTATGCCTCTGATGCGAATGTTTCGCTTTCTGTGGCGGGCCTCCAGCGTTGTGACCGTCCTCTTGAGCTGATGGATCTGTGAGCGTAGATCCTTCACAGCGTCACTGGAGATCTGTTGCTGGGCTTCTCTGGCGCTTTCTCTGGCTTCAACTTCGGTGAGCCTTTTCTGGATGACCCCCATCTCCTTCTTTGTGGTCTTCAAGTCTGCCCTCCACACCTCCCTCATTTCCTCAAGGAGGTCTCTAATGTCCCTCTTTGTAACTGGGGATGAGTCTTCCTCAGATTCAGATGCCTGACACTGGGCTCCGTCTTCTGCCTGAGATGAGGTGGGGCTGTCTCTGCCCTCCTGGGAGTCATCCGAGACTTCCTCCTCACTGGGTGCGGCGGGCGCCATTTTGGCTGGTGCCGCTTGAGTAGGCCTCGTAAAGGAGAGCCGAATGTCGGGCGCTTTTGGCGGTTCCGGCAGGCGGAATTTCTTAGTTTTTCGCCCCATGTCAGTAGCTGTGTGGGGGCTATAGTTGTGGTGTTTGGAGGGTCCCGTTTGCGGGTTTCTGGACTCTATTGTGAGTCTCTGTGTCGGAGCTGCACGGGAACGCGTCCTCCTCGTTAGACAGCTGGCCACGCCCCCCCCATTATCCAATCTTATAGAGCATCTAATACAAGTGTTCCTGAAGGTTTGAAAGCTCATTCTACACGTTCCCTTTCTTCATCCTGGGCAGCTGTAGCAAAGGTTTCTACAGATCTAATTTGCAAAGCAGCCACTTGGTCATCTTCTAGACATTATCGTTTAGATGTTAGAGCTGGTCAATACGATGGATTTGGCAAATCAGTTCTTTCTGCTTCAAAGGATTGACTTCAATTCTTGTTGTTCAGGACATATGGTTGTTTGTGATAATACACTTGCATTATATAATAATGTGTCTGAGTTTTTCTTTCCCTCCCTTGGTTTTAGCTTGGGTATTACCCATTGTTGTGCTGCCATGGATATGGCCAGGAAAGAGATAAATTTACTCATACTTACCGTAATTTTCTTTTCCTGGTCATAGGCCATGGCAGCACAAAGATCCCACCCAGGGATATTGCTGTTAACTAGACTGAGGGAGGAGGAGGTAGGAGGGGGTATTTGTACCCTTATTTTAATTAGTTCCTGTCTAACTAGGGATAGGGGAGGAGCTACCCATTGTTGTGCTGCCATGGCCTATGACCAGGAAAAGAAAATTACGGTAAGTATGAGTAAATTTATCTCTATCCCATCAGTGGGGGACCAATACCGCTGATTGCGAAGTACACCTGAGCTAGTTCAAGCTCCATAATAGGTGAGTGCGATAATTTTTTCGTTCTGTATCTTCATAAAGAAACTCCAATTACAGTCTACACTATTGGAATTTTCCTCTGTTCTATTCGCGTATTGCCACCCGGAACAAGAAATTGCTGATCACTTATCTGCTTGGACTATTCCCTTTTTACAACTTTTCAAGTGGACCTGAACATTTCCTGTTTATCTAAGGACTTATTTATACTTATTGTTCTGTTATATATGTAAGTACTTATTGTATTGCTTCTATTTTGTTCTTTTATTAAGAGATTTTGTTCTGTTTTATACTTATCACACTTGTTTTATATTTATTTTATTTATTTTTACTAGCTCTATTTTGTGGCGCGACCTAAAAATCCCTTATCTCTCACAATGGAACACATGTTGCTACACATTGGGCCTCCACATACAACTGGGTGTCACCCAGTAATGTCAGTCAATCAGTACCACTTAGTAAATTCTTAGGAGGGGGTTACCCTCAATAAGACCGGGATGAGCAGGTCAGTAAAACCGGGACGCAGCCCGTGTATGGGACGCGGGGCAGCCTCAATATATAATCCAGGGGAGGGGTCACCCTTATATGGTATAGTACTGTGGAGGTTTGGCAACACTGTGAGCTCTCCTTCCTAACACTGCGAAGGAGGTGTACGGATCACCCCAGTTGTAGCATGGAGGTGCCGTATTACATGAACCTATTGCGACTTGTGGTCTGTGCGTACAGTGATGGAGCGTGGTCTGTGGGTTTAAGCCCCTAATAGGGCGCGGGGTGGTCACCCATGTACATGTATGCCACTTAGGACTGGTACAAGACTCGCTTGGGGGTCACCCCTGTAATATAATCAATTAGGTGCACCCACATATGTATCTTGTATAGTCTTGCTCCAATGGAGAGTGGTTATATCCTTGTAAGGGTTCACTCTAGGCAGTGTAGGAGTGAGCTGGACACGACTTTCAAGCTCATTTAATCCACTATAATGAAAACAGACATAGTATGAATGTGTCATATCTATTCACACATGTGCACACACATCAGGAGCAAACAGTGAGACATACATATATATATATATGTACATAAACTGCAGAGAAAAAGCTATGCCAGTTCGAGGGAATCACGAACTGGCGAAACGTTCGCGCAAATATGCCATGCGGCCCGCCAGTTATGGCAAAAGCGCCCCACGCTCCCTCCACCCCCAGTAACCTTGCCTGTTCGCCCCAGAACCTGTTGGGGCAGGGGGGAGGGGGTGGTTCAATGTGATCACGGTAAAAAAAAGCGTGTGAGGAGTGACAGGGAGGGAACAGAGGGCCAGCAAAGAGATGACAAATAAACAGTAGTAAATCGTCAATAAAGGGGAAAACAGGATAAATACAAATAAAGTGTAAATAGCTATATCAATGAATAAACAGTTTTGAGCAAATTACTCTGACCTGTGACTTGGTTGGAGCAGCAAAGAAAGAGGAAGTCATGTGTCTGTCAGGGCTTTATATATGGATGGGATGCCTGTTACGGATTGGTTTAAAGTTTATTGATTGACTTGTGCTGCTGGAGGCATAAAGTAAAGAAAGTTATGCAAATATAAAGCCTCCTATCATGTGATCAAATGTAGGAGACAAGCTGTAGATGCGAATATCCATTTTGCTCTATATCCTAACTGTTCATGTAAGGGTTAATTTGAATCAAGAATAAATTTGGAATTGTATCTCCAATTCTCAGAAATGTTATTGAAACATGATTTTGTTATGTTCCTGGAAAAAAGATATTTGCATGACATGACATGACATGACATGACATGGCATGACACGACATGACATGACATGACATGATAAGGATTCTGGAATGACCTTGTTAATTGTCCAAGATTTCGGTATTTGTAATCATCTGGGTTTTATCCAATATGCATACATTATGTAACATCGAATTATAACTAAAAACAGCTGTTTATAACTTGTGAAAAACAATGTCATTGTGACGCCCATATGGTCATTTTTCCCCCTCCCATCCTGCTATGAAAATGGGTTATAAATATAACTGACGTATGAATACAATTTGAATTGGTTATTGAACACGTCTCTGCTATTCATTTCCAATTTCCAGAGCTCTGTATGAGTTGGCAAATATCCATCATCCACAAAGGGCCAGGCTGATTTTATCCCCAACAAATTGGTGTCAGAAGTTTGGGTGCAATTAGGAACGGAGTTGCAGGTAAGGGGGTCTTTAGCCCCTTGGGGACACAACTTCTGGAATTTAAGGGTATCATGACGGAGTATTTCTGTCGTGTGTCCTTAAGGGGTTGGGGACCTTTGCCTGCTTCTGCCATCCTCCCACACATTGCATTTCTTGTTTTAATGGGGTTTTTCACTATTTACATTTTTAAAGGGGATTTTCACAGGATAATGTCTTTGGTAGACATGGTATTTTGTTAAGTCTTAGGTAGACTTCTATTACTCCACGGGTTGGAGGATTGCCTTTGGTGGGTAGTAGTAGTTATTGTGCACATTTCCTCTTTGGTAAGAGGTTCACCTTTGGCCAGGTGTTAAAAAGAATTTTAAGCCTTTGGTAGGCTGTGATGTACCTGTGATGTACACTTACATATGGGAGACGTCCCTAGATCCCTCTTTGGTAGAGGTTGCCTTTGGTAGGTTATAAAACAGATTTCCAGTCTTTGGTGGACTGTGGTATTTATTTAACGTAGATGTCAATTTGGCAGACTAAAATGGTTTAAAAAAAAAAAAAAAAGGAAAAAAAGGGGGGTTAAAAGGTATGATGGATGTTTGGCATTACTCCGGCTTGCTAATTTATGTGCTATTTTATGATGTGCTAACTAGAGGTTATTTAAGGGGGGCTACAAATTCTAGAACTAACATGATTTCTCTGCATGTATGTTTGTTTGCATAATGAGCCCTTATTTTTATACTTGGTCAAAAGTACTATAAGCCCACTACACTTTTTCATGAGAGTGGGATGTATGATTGTTTATATGATGAGCCCTTTATTTTCATATTGGGACAAAAAGTCACTTCATTCAAAACGTCAAACACCACATTCTTTCTGCCCTGTGTGTTTGTTGCAGAGAATTTATGTTGTAAATTTAGAAGAGAGCAAAATGTATATTTTCAGCGTTCCAACACATGCTTCATATTGTGCTGTAAGCTAACTTGTAGTATTCCAGTATGTCACATGTTGTATGTGCTTTAAATTGTATGTATTCTGTAAATTATTGTATGGGGTTGCTGAGATTTTATTGCTTGTGACCCAAACTGTGAAGAAGTGGGTTTGAAATTTTGGTCATGGAATGTAGGATCAGAAAACCATGGACAAAGGTTTTTACCTGTGTTGATATGACTTTTGGAAACTCAAATTGACCGGTCAAAATTTTGCCATGCCTTTAACATGGAGTAGTATAAATATTTTGAGTCTTTGAGAGTTCTGACAAATGCAGGTGATACCATGTCTGTGTAATCTGGTCCAAATGTTCTATAAGCGTATAAGAGAGAAATTCCATTGACAGGGTACATATGTTGCAACTGGTTAATGCAAGTGTTATACAAATGTTTAAGTCAAACGCGTTATATGGCCTTACGGGATCCCTTCTGTAAAAAATAAAAAATAAACCCTTTGGTACCAGAAATCTTAAATAAATCCAATACAAACTAAAATTGGTATACCTTACAATAATATGTTCTGAATACAGCTGTTAGAAGTTTATTCTGTGTGAATGATGATTGTCATAAATGTTTGTTTTGGTTACTCATTTTGAAGTGTGCAGTTTAATTGTCATGTATGTTAATGGGTATTTTGCTGTGTTATTTTAAATTATATTTGAATAGGTTTGTCTTAGTATTGATACAGATGAAAATGGCAGCGTAATAATCTATTAAATAACTGATTTATTATTGAATACTTGTCCAAGAGCAATATGAGTTGTAGTCTTAAGAAAGAAAAAAAGAGGGAGTCTGTTTTTGTAAATTTGAGCTGATTTCCAAAATTCTGTTGCAATAATGGACTTCCTGCCAAAATTTGACTTTCCTGTCCAGTTGCCAGGTGCTCTGATCTAATCTTAAAGCAGTACTGCTTGCATTGTTTGCAGACATGCATAATGCACAAATATGAGAACCAAATTATGTCTGTCACATAGTGTGACATTTATTAATTTATTTTGGATTGAGTTAATTGCCTGTCCATGAATATGCTTTTTGTATTGGCATGTCTGCTGGATATCTGCTACATGTTTTCTGTGCTATAAGATGATGTGTGATATTACAATGAGTATGAAGAATATTTAAAGAATATTTGCATGTCATTAACGCAAGCCTTTAGTGTCTTTTTACAACAGATTAAAAAAAAAACTGATCAGCCAACAAGAAAGGGGTCCCTGGGAAAGAAAAAGAAAAAATGTATAATTTGCTTTTCAAAATCGTGGATCCACGTTTCAGTATTATTAGGGGAGTATTTAGAGTTAACGCTACTTTTAAAGTGCATTGCATTATTTAAGAAAAGAAAAATGTGTTATGTTATATGGTTATATAACAAGAAAAATTATGGATGTATAGGATAGGTTTTTTCCAAGATTAAGATTCATCTAGTATGCCTCATTGATTATAGGAAAATGATGAAATGGTATTTTTAATAGAGATCAGATAATTTCTTTTGAGGCAATTCTAAACTACTGTATTATATTTGTATTGGCATATTGAAAGCATTTTGCTGACCCAGAAGAGAATAAATAATATATTAATTATAAAAGGAACCATACTATGGGAAGAGGTCACTCTATTAAATTGCTAAGGGGTTAAACTCATTTTGATAAGCATATAAAATTTAGTTTTTGTGGTTAGAATTTTTGATACTCAATTTGAACTCAATTGAAGTATTACAACCATATCCTTGCAGGTATAGGAAACAGCTGCAATATGATTTTAATATTTGCAATATATTAGTGTTCTGACAATGGAAAAGTTCCTAACCGCATGTCTGTATTACACCTATGACACAGACTGTCAGTATTGCAAACCCTATATGAAGACTCTGCTTTCACTGTTTATGTATACACCCCTAGACAACCGTGCTATACATGCACAATAAATCTTCAAAAGCCTATTAATATTATATCTGTGTGGTACACAAATAGGTGTACACAAAGAGGGGGTATGAGTTAAGTCATCTCGACCTTCATATGGAATATGCTTCCTCCTTGTTCACTTTTGGTCAAACTGTTGGTCTGTGACTGGCCCTCTTTGAACTGAATTTCTTGGGAAGATTCATGAGAAAGATACAGCAGGTTGTTTTGATATAAAGAAAGAGGGAAAAGTATGTTGTATCGGTCACAAAAGGATTGTGATCTTAAGCAGGCGAGACAAAGAAAGTTTGGAGGTGATAGATTGAATCAGAAAAGTTTTAGAGGCAGAGGTAGAGAATTTGATCAAAGGATTTAACTTTTGTAGAGATGGTAACTTCAGCACTGTTTTAATTGTGGGTAGCAGGGATTCACCCCAAGGTGCTTGTGTTCTCCTGGCCCAGCTGGCATTCAAGGACTCCCACCCTGGCAGGTTCCTCAATACCAACCACAACTTTCAAGCTATACCCACACCCAACAACCTCAGCCTAATACACAGATGGTTCATGTTTTTAATACTTTATATATAGTTTTGATAGATAAAACAGTATTAATGCTGGCTCTTAGAGGATGTACAAGTTGAAGTTGGGACCTAGACATTGTTTGCATAGGCTGTGCAATGTGAAATAACTAAAATAAAATAGGATAATAATAAGTATGCTTAGTCAATTTGTAACGTGGTATCATAGAGGCATCTGCAATAAAATAAGTGGGTTTCCAAGACCTGACAAGTGAGGGCAACTTAATATAACATATGTCTACAGTTTGCTACCCCTTTCTTATCAGAGGCCACTTGCAACACAGCAAGACAACTCTTCTGAAACCTGGATTAAACAAAGCACTTTAGAACAATAGTAATTCACTTTGTTTCTCTAGTTGTTCTGAAAAAAAAAAGATTGTTTAAAGGACCACTTTACTGCCAGGAAAACATATTAGTTTTCCTGCCACTATAGTGCCCTGAGGGTGCCCCCACCCTCAGGGACATCCTCCCGCCTGGCTCTGGAAGGGGGAAAGGGGTAAAAACGTACCTTTTTCTGGCGCTGGGCGGGGAGCTCTCCTCCTCCGATCCTCCTCTTCTCCTCCCCGTCGGCTGAATGCGCACGTGTGGCAAGAGCTGCGCGCGCATTCAGCTGGTCACATAGGAAAGCATTCAAGCGCCTCTAGCGGCTGTCAATGAGACAGCCACTAGAGGGAATGGGGGAAGGCTTAACCCATTCATAAACATAGCAGTTTATTTCTGAAACTGCTATGTTTATGAAAAAATGGGTTAACCCTAGCTGGACCTGGCACCCAGACCACTTCATTAAGCTGAAGTGGTCTGGGTGCCTAGAGTGGTCCTTTAAGTGAGATAACTGTATGGAGGTTCCACCCTGTATTAAAACATGATCACGCACATACAGAACTGATGGCTTTTTGGACATCGGGATCTATAAAAGGTTTTGGTTTCCAAAGATGTTATCAGGGTCCACAAAACTGACAGACTTCAGCATTCCAATTTTATTAAAGTAATTAATTGAGATTATCAAATCAAGGTTTAAGATTAAGAACAGCATTTTATTGGGAATTATACCAATATGTGTATGTTAGTGTTTTAGCATTTATACAAGCATTTATATAGAATGAGTGCTTCTCTCATCCATTCAAAGGCATTTTAAAGGGAAATTATGTATTAAAATTTTATAAAGGACAAATTAAATGAATTATAAGCAAAACTGAGAGAAGTACATGTTACACTAGTTAAGAGTTTAACTTTAGTCTCCTATTTGAGTTTAGCCTAGATAATTAATTTATTGATGTCATAGTGATCCTTGTGTTTGTATGATTATAGAGACCGTACTGGAGTATTTGTGTTGCCTGATATTTGGGACTACACACCAATCTCTCTGGCTGACCTACCTGCCTACCTACCCTTTTTACAATTAAATCTGTTTGGTCAAAATCCATGCTGGCCGAAGAAACTGAGATGCTTACTTATGAGGACATAAACTAACTTGGAAAGTCCTGAAGATGCAGTGCTGTCTAATGCCGCTATTTCTGTATTACCCTTTCAACAATTGGGGTGTTGCACAGAGTATTGTGGTGAACATCCAGCAAACAGAAGAATTAAGAATTATGTGGAAGCTGACATTGTCTTGTTGTCAGCCATATTGCTACCCTTAGCTATGTTATGGTGTCTAAGATTGTGGAACAAAGTTTATGGTGTCTAAGATTCTTTATACTCCTTGAAAGACTTATAATATTTTTCTGGACTATGCTGGACTATTGAACTATTTTGTTATTTTTATCTTTGTAGAGTTAGCCGGAGAGAGAGGAAGTGTTAGCTTACTCAGGCATGGATGTACTATGTGTGTCATTGATGTATGTTGAGTGTACCAAGGATGGATTCCAATGTATTAAGTGTGGATATGACTGGACTATCAAAATAGGGATTTGATTAGGAGGCATAGGACGCAAGGTCATGATTGGGATTATTGCTAGAATTGCAAACTGATTAGAAATGATCTTATGATTTAATATGTAAGTGGGCCTTTTCAAACTAATCAAGAAGTGTTTCCCAATCCCGATACCTGAGCTATTTACTTACATAGTGCAGGTTTTATAAGTCACTAATGCTGTCAACATGAGGGGATGACATGTTTACACAGTCATGGCCCTCACTTAGAATTTACCCAGATGTGCTTTTTTTCTCAATTATGAGTTTTTGCCACTGGGATTTTTGACCTGGCCCAAGTTCACTGGGTGGACTGGTAATCCAAGACCCTGGTCCAAAGAGGGGAAATAGATTTTATTCCCATTTTTGATTATAGGTGTTTACATTGTGAATTATAATAATAATATTCCCGTTGTTGGGAATAATACACTTTGCCTGTTTTGATCCAAGGCTCAAGTTGCAGATAACATGATGTGCAGTCTGTTTAAAATTGGTTAAGATGTCAGCTGTTTGAAATATTTAACTTGTACACTTAAAAGATGTGTACAACAGATGATTACAGAAGCTGAAAATCGACAGCTCGATCTCCTCTTAAAGGGAAAACCTACGGCATAGAGCAAATGGGGGAAATCGAGGTGAAGAAATAAGGAAAGTCCCGCAGACGTGATTAGCACGTCTGAATATACCTCCTTTTGTTTCTCTGCCGCAGGCCTCCCATGGATATTCCATAAGGTAGATCATGATATGATCTAAGAGGGGAATTGTAGATGCGAATATCCATTTTGCTCTATATCCTAACTGTTCATGTAAGGGTTAATTTGAATCAAGAATAAATTTGGAATTGTATCTCCAATTCTCAGAAATGTTATTGAAACATGATTTTGTTATGTTCCTGGAAAAAAGATATTTGCGTGACATGACATGACATGACATGACATGGCGTGACATGACATGACATGACATGACATGACATGATAAGGATTCTGGAATGACCTTGTTAATTGTCCAAGATTTCTGTATTTGTAATCATCTGGGTTTTATCCAATATGCATACATTATGTAACATCGAATTATAACTAAAAACAGCTGTTTATAACTTGTGAAAAACAATGTCATTGTCACGCCCATATGGTCATTTTCCCCCCTCCCATCCTGCTATGAAAATGGGTTATAAATATAACTGACGTATGAATACAATTTGAATTGGTTATTGAACACGTCTCTGCTATTCATTTCCAATTTCCAGAGCTCTGTATGAGTTGGCAAATATCCATCATCCACAAAGGGCCAGGCTGATTTTATCCCCAACACAAGCTATGCATGTTTGTGTTTAGAATGGTGAGCCTGAGGCTTGCTCTTTGCTGTGGACTTGAAAGAATTAAAAGGCATCAGTGTGTGCTGTACAGGTTATATTGCATAAATGTATTGCCTTGAGATGGCTGTCTACTAGGATTACCTCCCTCGACTACAAATGTGTATGTCTTTCCTTTTTAGATATGTTTGTGTGGAAATTTGCCGTGATTTTTATTTGCGGAGAAACGGGAATCAAGGCACCTGATATATTTATACCACAACACATTTCCTTTTCTTTACTCTTGCACAAAAAATTAGTACCTAATGCAACTGCAAAAAAAATCATTTCTGTGCAGCTGTTACGCTCCACACAATTGGCTCTTGAACAGTGGGATACACATAAGCAACAAATAGGTTAAATAATTAAACATGCTCAACAAGGCTGCTGGTGCTACTTAAGTTTACAAATGTTTTGGGTGTAACACCCTTTGTCAGTGCATTGCACATTGCGAGAGGATATTACACCCAAAACATTTATTTTGGACGTCTTTTACCTTCCTTGGCAGTAAAACATGTTTAACCAGTTAACAGGACACTATGGTCACCAGAACCAGTACAGGTTAATGTAGTTGTTCTGGTGTCTACTTCCTGTCCCTGCAGGCATATTAATGTTTACACAAAAAAGACAGTGTTTACATTAGTGCTTTGGAACACCTGGTGGCAGTCACTCAGACAGCCACTAGAAATGCTTCCTGGGTCAGTGCTGCATGTGTAGCACTGATGTTCAGCCTCGCCACACTCTGCATGGAGGCACTGAATGTTTCTCATAGAAATGTATTGATTCAATGCGTCTCTATAAGGAGATGTTGATTGGTGCAGCACTGCGTCTTACTGTGCATGTACAATAGCCTCACAATCACAAAACCTTCATCCCCTATACATCCAACCATCAAAGGTATAAAAACCACAGACAGTTCAGCTCAGAGGCCTTCTTGAATATCACTAAGATGATTGCCAAGGACATGGCTCTCTAAGTAGCATCAAGAAGGGCCTTAACCCCTTAAGGACCGAGGACGGTTCAGGACCGTTATCTGCATTTTCCCATTGCCGAACGCTGGCGGTCCTGAACCGTCCTAACGGTCTTAGTTACTTACCTGATCACCGTCGTTCCCCCCGGTGTGGGGAGACTGCCTTCAGCCCAGACAGACTCCCCATGGCGGATTAAGACCCCTGGGGCCATGTGATCGCTTAACACAGCGATCACATGGTCACAATAGGTGTCCATGTGTCTACCTGCAGGGGGACTGCCTGTGCTGACATTATATATGTGTGTGTATATATATATATGATATATAGACATATTATATCTATATAATATGTTTATATATCATATATATAATGTCATACTAAGTGTATTTTTATATTAATATGTACATATAGTAATATAAAAATACACTTATAATTAAATCACACACGCATATGTATAATAACTATATATATTGTATATGTATATTATTATAAAATATAAATAATAAGTAATTTAAATTAAATTTAAAAATAATAAAAAATTTAAAAAAAATTATCTATATGAAATTTTATTCTAATTGTAGTTTGATATTAATATATATATATATTTATATCAAAATACTTAGAATGAATATGTATATATATCTATGTACATATAAATAAATAGAAATAATACGAAATATACATATGTCCATATACATAATTACATAAATAATTATATAAATATACACGTAGACTTCAAATATATAAATATGCATATATATTTAAATTCTACGTGCGTATTTATGTAATATTTTCACATAATTAAATAATTTTATTGATTGCAATTTGAGGGACCTGCCTGCCAACCCAGGCCGAAAGTCCAGAGAATTTAATTTGCTAGCACTGTATTTTACCCTGTAATGTTCTACAACACCATAAAACCTGTACATGGGGGGGTACTGTTTTACTCGGGAGACTTCGCTAAACACAAATATTAGTGATTCAAAACAGTAAAACATATCACAGCGATGATATTGTCAGTGAAAGTGACGGTTTTTGCATTTTTCACACACAAACAGCACTTTTACTGATGATATAATGGTTGTGATACGTTTTCCAGTTTTGAAATACTAATATTTGTGTATAGCGAAGTCTCCTGAGTAAAACAGTACCCCCCATGTACAGGTTTTATAGCATTTTTGAAAGTTACAGGGTCAAATATATTGGTCAAATATTTTTACATTGAAAATGGCCAGGTTGGTTACGTTGCCTTTGAGAGCGTATGGTAGCCCAGGAATGAGAATTACCCCATGATGGCATACCATTTGCAAAAGAAGACAACCCAAGGTATTGCAAATGGGGTATGTCCAGTCTTTTTTAGTAACCACTTATTCACAAACACTGGCCAAAATTAGCGTTCAATTTAGTTTTTTACTTTTTCCCACACAAACAAATATGAATGCTAACTTTGGCCAGTGTTTTCGACTAAGTGGCTACTAAAAAAGAATGGACATACCCCATATTGAATACCATGGGATGTCTACTTTAAAAAAAATATGTACATATGGGGTGTTATTCAGAGATTTATGACAGATAATAGTGTTACAATGTAATATTAATACATTTTTAAAATGTATGTTTTTTTTTTTTTATAAATTCTTTATTTTCAAAGGTACATGGATAGTGTAACATACAGATTTTGGACCTGGTGGTACATCAATTGTATCAGGTTTCTTAGCGCTGTCACGTCGCTCAAAGTAGTATTGCTGTTATTAGCTGCTGAGCACGTACAGTTCGTAGTATTTCCCATGTCCAAACTGGATGACTGTACATTTTCCATTTTACCGGGTAGGGGTGAACTGGGGTACATGGTCCCGGGATCGTCTAGCTGCACCTGTGAGTTTTTAGCGTTATCTCTTCCCTTTTCTGTTGGGATGGGGAGGAGAGGGAGTGCAGTAGAGGAGGAAGGAGGGGAGAAGAGGAAGAGGGGGGAAAAAAAAGGGGGGGGCTGGGGCCACTGAGTGGTGTGGGTGCGTTTGGTGAGCTTTGCTGCCCGCCTTTTGCGTTTCGTAGGTGGGGGGGAGTGGGTATTCTCACTGTTAGCTCCCTCTCTGCTTGTGTTGGGTTTCAGTTGTTTAGTCGGGGGGGGGGAGCCTGGGGTGAAGGCCTAGTGTCTTCGGGGTTTGTCCCATCGCCATGCGGTGTGGGGTCCCGCCTCTGGTCCTGTTTGTTATCTGGCCTTTGCGGTCCAGTGCCATGTCTGTCGTGGCAGTTGGTGCTATGGGGCTGTGCTGTGTTGGGGCCCTAACGGTCTGGTGCTGGGGCTCTGGGCGGGTGTTTGTCTTGGGTGGGATTCACTCCTTCGGTCCGTGTTGGCCCGAAGGGTGGCAGTGGTCCGTCCGTCGGGGTCAGGGACTGCTGTGGTGTCGTTCCCGGGATGCCCCCTTCCTCCTCCTCTCATATCGGGGGAATCCTGTGGTGGGGTTGTGGGTGTTGTCTCCCCCCGGCCACCCGCCCGCGCCCGCCGGGGTCCCCTGTGGGGGAAGTGGATGAGGGGGGCGGGTCGTTGGGGGGGGTGATATGTTTGTGGGATGAGGGGTGCAGGGTGAGGCCAGTATCCTGTGTTGGGTCCGGTGTGCGCAGAATGGTCGTGCCGTGAAGTTTGCCAGGTAGTGGGGCTGGCGGGGTCGTCTGTCCAGTGGGGCATTTATGTCACTTCGATGGTGTCCAGCGTCGGGTAATTCATGTCCCAGGGGTCCCAGGTTCGATGAAACTCTTTGTAAGAGTCGTGTATCTGCGCGGTTAACTCGTCCAGATCTCGGGTTTCTATGATCCTGTTGATGATGGTTGAGAGTGTGGGAATTCGGTGGTCGGCCCACTGTTCCGCGATCGCCCTTCTGGCCGCCAGCGTTATCCTAGCGGCTAGCTTGTTCTCGCTTCTGGTGAGGGAGTCCAGAGGTTTGTTGAGTAGTATCGTCCACGGCTGCGCCGGGTAGGGTTTATTGAGAATCTGTCCTATGAGACCACTGATTGCCGACCAAAGCGGTTTAATTTTTGGGCATGTCCACCAGCAGTGTATGTATGAGCCAGTTTCGCCACATAACTTCCAGCAAAGGGTGTCGGGTTTTTGGCCCATTTTGTGGAGTCTGTGTGGTGTCAGGTACCACCGGAACAGCGTTTTGTATGCTTGTTCCTTGTGGGTGACGCATACTGTCAAGGAGTTTGTTGCCTCCCAAATTTCCGCCCAGTAGCTCGATTCCTCCGGCGGGCCTAGGTCTCGTTCCCATGCGGCAATGTAGGTGAGGTTAATGTGTGAGGTATGCGTTGTCAGGGTTGAGTAAAGGCTGGAGATTTGTCCTGAGTGTAAGGGTGCGTCAAAGCACCTTTTCTCAAATGGTGTCGGGGGCGAGGTCCCCGCTTGTTTGATCATTGGCTGCCTTGCTAGATCCCTGAGCTGGATGTAGCGAAAATGGTCTGCAGTTGTAAGTGTCTCGCAGTCCGGTAAGTCTTTGTAGTCTATGATTTCTCCTTGGTGATATAGGTGAAGGAGTCTGGAGATGTCCCTTTGGTCGAATGCGCGAAAATGTTTTGCCACCATCCCCGGTGGGAATAGTTTGTTGCGGTATATAGGTGTTACCGGGGAGATGAAGGAGGACAGTTCGTACTTGGGGTTCAGTTTGTCCCAAAGAGCTAGCGTGTGAGTGATTGCCGGGGAGGTGGGCGGTGGGAGTGGCCGATGTACGGGAGGCACCCACATATATGATGATGGTATGTCCCAACCCATGACATCGTGCTCCAGGTCCACCCATCTTTTGGTGCTCAGGGGAGCGTGCAAGTGTTGAACGTGGGCCAGTTGTGCCGCATTGTAGTATTGTTGGAAGTTGGGTAGCCCGAGGCCCCCGCTGGTTTTGGGGACGTACATGGTCGATCTGCGAATGCGTGGTCTTTTGCCCCTCCATATAAATTTGTCGATGGCGGTCTGTAGGTCTTTAAAGTCTTTCTTCCGTATGGGGATGGGTAGTGTTTGAAAGAGATACAGGAAGCGTGGTAATAAGTTCATTTTGATGGTTGTGACTCTGCCTAACCAAGAGATCCCTAAGTTGTCCCAGCGTTGGAGGTCCTGGTGGGCTGTTGTTAGAAGTGGTTTGTAGTTGAGGTCGTAGGTGTCTTCTAAGTTAGGGGACAGTCGGGTGCCCAGGTATGTGAGGTGAGACGTGGAGATTTGGAAGGGGAATGAGTTTCATAGGAGCTGGATTTGTCGTGCGTCCATCGCTATTGGTATGAGAACGGATTTCGTCTGATTGATTTTGTACCCGGAGAAGCTAGAGTATTCAGCTATCACTTTGAGCGTGGCATGTAGGGATGGTATCGGATCCGCAAGGGTCAAAAGGACATCATCCGCGTACGCCGCCACCGCGTATTTCTCTTTCTGATTTCTCTTGTCTTGTCTTGAATATCCGGGTGGTTGCGTATGGCCTGTAGGAGTGGCTCTAGTGAGATAGCGAAGATTAAGGGTGAGAGGGGGCAGCCCTGTCTGGTCCCGTTCTTTATGGTGAAGGTTTGGGCCTCTATGTTGGGTAGGAGAAGTTTCCCTTTGGGGTGACTGTATATTGCCTCCAGGGCGTTCATGAAACCGGCCGGGAATTTGAGGTGTGTAAGGATTTGGAACATGTATGGCCAGAGGAGGCGATCGAACGCCTTCTCTGCGTCCAGCGAGAGCATTACCGCCGGGATGTTCCGATTCTGGGTGTACCAAATTGTGTTGAAGGCTCTTCTGGTGTTATCCGATGCCTGTTGTTTTGGAATGAAGCCGACCTGGTCGGGATGTATCAGCTGGGGGAGGCAAGTGTTGAGACGGATGGCCAGACCCTTTGTAAGAATTTTCAGATCTATGTTCAACAGTGATATGGGCCGGTAGTGGCCTGGTTCTAGCTGTTCTCTGCCTGGTTTAGGCAGGAGGCAAATGTCGGCGGTGAGCATATCCGGGGGGAGGCGTCGACCCTGGAGTATAGAGTTGAAAGTTTTGCTCAGGTGTGGGATGAGTGTTGCCTGGAATGTTTTATAGTAAAGTGCGGTAAAGCCGTCCGGGCCTGGGCTTTTCATTGGTTTCAGCGTTTTGAGGACCTGGGCAAGTTCCTCGCCCTCCATGGGTGCTTCCAGCAGTGCCTGTGCCTGGGTGGATAGGGTGGGCAGGTTGAGCGGCTGCAGGAAGGATGAGATTCTTTCTCTTTGGGAATCGTCCCCTGTTGGACAAGGGGGATCGGCATGGTTGTATAGTTTTGTGTAATATTGTAGGAATTCTTGAGCTATTGTGTCTGGGTTGTTCGTGATCTCCCCGTGCTGGTTCTAATTTTGGAGATTCTTTTGTTGTCCTGCCGTTTTTTGAGGCAGTTTGCCAGGAGGGAGTCCGCTTTATTTCCCTTTTCATAGAAGCGTTGCTTGGTCCACATGAGGTTTCGTGCCACGTCTGCTGAGGATAGCCGCCTGAGGTGCTCTCGTAACGCGGTGAGCTCCTTTAGCACAGTGTCGGAGGGGTGTTGTTTGTGTAGTGTTTCAAGCTTAGTTAGGTTGGCCAGTGAGGTCCTGGAGGCGTCGTTTTTTTATGGGCCGTGGCAATTGCTATCAAGTGGCCTCGGATTGTTGCTTTGTGCGCTGCCCATACTGTCGCCGGGGCCATGTCCTCTGCGGCGTTTATCTCGAAGTAGGTTTTGAGGTGGCCAGTTATGGTTTGTACTGTTTCTTTGTCCCAGAGAATCCACGGATTGAGTCGCCAGCGCCACAGGCGAGATAATCGTGGGATTTGAAGGTCCAGCGTGATCTCCGCATGGTCCGACCACATTATATTGCCAATTTGCGAGTGAGTGGTCCAGGGCTGGATCGCCTGTGATACCAGAAAGCAATCTATCCGTGAATATGACCGATGTGTGTGGGAGTAGAAGGTGAAGTCTCTGTCTGCCGGATGGTGGGCCCTCCAGATGTCCAATAGCGTGGTCTTGTTGAGGAAGCTGGCATATAGTTTGTCGTTCCTCGTTGGAGCCGGCGTTGTATCGTTATGCGCTCGTCGGTCTATGGCGGGCGTGTGTGTCGCGTTAAAGTCCCCTCCCACGATTAGGTATTTGGCTGTGATGCTGCCGAGGCGGGACTTAAAGGTGCTCCAGAAGGTGGGGTCTGGTGTGGCCGGTGCGTAGAGGGTGCATACAGCGAACGAGGTTGTGCCCATGTTTCCCATGAGGAACAGGTATCTCCCGTTGGGGTCTGTAAGCGTGTGTATGTCTTCTAGAGGGCAGGAGTTACGTAACAGGATTGCCACCCCTTTTTTCTTCGGGTCCTGTGAATTAGCTAAGAAGTATCTTTTGAAGTGTCTATTGGTTAGGGGGAAGCATTTCTGGTCCGTGAAGTGGGTTTCCTGGAGTAGGATTATGTCTGCGCCTGTGCGATTAGCCCATCGTAACATCCCATGTCTCTTGCCTGGGGAGTGCAACCCCTTCACATTGAGGGAGGTTGGGCGAATCTTCGTGGAAGGTGGTGCCATGGTGGTGTTGGGAGGTCGGCGTGCGGGGGTGGGTGGTTTGGCGGTGAGGGAGGGTTGTGGGTTGGGGGACCCCGAGCGGTCCGGAGACTGTCGCTATGAATGGGGTGGGGAGTGACTGGGCTTATCGATCTGGCCAGTCGTCTGGTTGGCGGGAGGGCTCGGTCTCCAATCCGCGCAATGGGATTAGAAGGTGCAAGTCCTGAGGGAAGGTTTTTTGGCAAGTCGTGGCAGCGCCTGCCTTCGGCCTGCCTGGTTCGGGGCTGTGTTGGCTGAGCTCTGAATGAGGGCTGGGGGTGGGGTGTGGGAGGTGCATGGGTCCGTGGTGACCGTGGCTGCCCTGTGCGGTGGGGTGTTGGGCCCCTAGACGGTTGAAAAAAAAAAAAAAACGTGCATCCTGTAATGCTAGTGCTGTAGCTGTCAGCATTTCCACCTTCAGTGGTAGTGTGGTGAGCTTTTGCGTGTGGGGGGGTATTATGAGGGGCAGCCCGGTGCCTGGCATCTTCCTGCATTTAGAGCTTTGTAGGGCGGGGGAAGTACGGGCAGGGAGGAGAAAGTAATGACCTCCAGCTAAGGTCGTCGGCCAACAACCCTTTCCCTACTCTTGGGAGGTGTTAGCGCCTCGTGTGGTAGCGCTGAGTCTGGAGGTCGTTTAGTGGCAACTTTTTCAACATAGCTTATGTAACATTGTTATAACATCATCAATACATATCAATTCGTAACTTTGGTAATATAAACAAAGAACCTGGTTTTCATAATATTAGACTTTGTAACATACATGAGCAACCATCTTGTCACCTGGTGTATTGTGTGGTGTCCTGCGTGTGCTGCGTGGTGTTGGGTGGTACTGTGGTGCCTGGAGCGTGGTGTCTATCCGACCCCGCATTGCTTGTGTCTGTGCGTGTTTGTCGTCAGTGGTCTGCTGCTGTTCGGTTTGTTGCTTTGTGGTTCCCCTTTTCCTCCGTCAGCCTTATTGGTGTCTAGGCTTAGGTTGCATATCGGCCTACGTGGGTGCTAGGCTTGACGTTCGTGTCTAGGTTGATGCGTCGGCTGTGCCCACCCGGTTGATATGTCACCACCCCGTCTCGTTCCCGTGGTCAATTGGTGGCAGCCTACGCCCCTTCATGCTGGTGGCCGTATGTGGGGAGGGTCTGGGCTCTACGTGTGTGTGACGCCCGTCGTGTTACCACCTGGGTCCTGTATTGTCCTGTCGTGGCCTCTCTGGTAGGTGGACAGGGGGCCCGTGGTCCTGGTTGGGACTACGTCGTGGTTGTGAGGTCCGCTAGTGGCAGGTGGACGTCGTGGCGCCCCTGACTTGGGTGCTCCTGGTACCTTGACGTGTGTCTCCGTCTGGCGGGTGTGGGGTGGAGGTGTAGTGGGTATTTGGGTGACCGGCCAACTGGTCTCTAGGTGATGCTGTCCGGGTGGGTCCTAGCGTGTGTCTCCGGCCGTCCTGGGGGTGGGGAGGCCAGGTCCATCCCCTACAGATGGCGTCTCAGGGCCGTCCAGTGGCTCTGATCTGTGGTCCCCATTAGTGCATGTGTGTGGGTTCCTCGTGTGGGGCTGGGTGGATGTGTCTGGTCAGCTTGTGTCTGGGCTGGACCCCTCGCCACGGGTTCTGTGGGCTGCGCAGCGTGTTAGGGCAAGGGGGCCTATGCTCCACGGTCCTGAGGGTAGAGGGCTGTCGAGGCTCGTCCGGTCATGTCTGACTGGTTGGGGCCCCAGAGGGGTCTGTCCGTCCCGGGGGCCATTGGGCTCCATGTGGGAGGGTCTCTCAGCCTCCCGGTTACCCGTCTTAGGATCCCATGGTGTCCGGGACCTGACCGCGCTCCGGTGCTGTGGCTTCGGCCTTCCCTCCCAGGGTCCGGGTCTGTCTAGCACGGCTGGTGGCGTGTAGAGGCACCCGCCTGTGCGTTTATAAGGGGGGGCTGGGCTCCCCAGGGTCCGGGTCCCGTCAGTTGTGGTAGCTGTCCAGGCGGTGGTGGACCCGGTGTGGGAACCTGTGTCCCCTAGTGCATGTGTGGTCACGTCTGGCAGGTGTATCCTGTCCCCTGTGTACTCGTCTGCCCCCCCTCTGTCTATCCGCCCGTCCCCCGTGAGATGGCGTGGAACCTGCCCTCCCTGCGGACAATAAGCTTAAATGGGTGGCCCCAAGCATACCTGAGGCCGTGCTGGGTGAGGTGATGCGTGAGGGGGCGCAGGTCCCGTCGCTTTTTCAGGGTGGTCGGCGCCAGGTCCTGATATAGCTGGACCTGGACGCCTTCCACCTCTATGGGGGTCTCTCTGGCAGCCCTCATGATGCGCTCCTTTACATGGAAGAAATGGAGCCGCACGATCACATCTCTTGGGGTGGTTGCGTTGTTGCTGGGGGCTCTCAGCGCCCTGTGTGCGTGATCCATTGGCAGGTCCGCATTGGAGGCTTCAGGCAGGAGGTTCCGGAATACTTCTGTGAGGGTGTCAGTCAGGAGCTCGATGAAAACTGTCTCCGGTATGCCTCTCACCCTTATGTTGTTTCTCCTGGTTCTGTTGTTGAGGTCTTCATTCGATTCTTCCAGGTAGCGCAGCTGTTCACGGAGGACCTGCAGCTCTCCACCATACGCCTGCACAGCTTCCATAGCCTCCGCCATTTTGGTTTCCGTGGCTTGTGTGCGGGCTGTCAGATCCGCCATGCCCTCCATGATCGGGCCCAGCTTCTTTTCAAGCTCCTCCGCGACTGATTTCCGGATGTCGGCGAGGAACCCCTGCATGTCCCGCTGGGTTAGTGGTGCCTCTGCCCGGTCCGAGGCTGCCTGGCTGCTCATCTCCGAGTCGGAGTCTGATGGTGAGTGCTCCAAAGATGGCGCCTGGGCCTTCTCGCCCTTTTGCCGGAATATCGGTGCAACCGCGGAATTGCGCAATTTTCTGCTTCCTCCCATTGGGGGTGAGGGGATGTGGTGAGGTGGGCGACAGGGGTAGTTAGGGGGGTTTGGGGGCTCAGGTGCGCTCGATGGCTTCAGATTAAGGCGAGGCCTTGGCGGAGCTCGGGGATTATGCCGCCATTTCCTTGCTCGGTCAGGCTCCGCCTCAAAATGTATGTTTTGAAACCGCAATGTCCTACTTGTACCTATAGCCCGGTGGCGTCGCTAGGGGGGGGCCAGAGGGGGCCATGGCCCCCCCTACATCATGCTGTGCCCCCCCTTTGGCCCCCCCAAATGCCTGCAACTTGCTGGCCATGGGCTTCCCTCGGACTGTAACAGCCTGTGACAGCCAGGGGGAGGGAATGCAGTGCTAAGGTGCTGGGGGCTGTCTGTGGCTGGAGGGAGCACTGATTGGCTCCCCGGCACAGGCCCCGCCCCCAAACGAAGCCCCGCCTCCCACAGATAAGCCCCACCCCTGCCGTAATGCAGCAGCCCATGCTGCTTCAGAAGATGGCTGCCTGACCCCCAGCAACAGCCTCCTGTAGCCCCATGTAGCCAAAGCGCAGCTAAGCGGAAAAAGGCCTTGACAGGGGTTAGGAGGCGGGCATAGGAGGAGGGAAGGAAGTATGGAGTTATGGGTAAGTAGGCTTGGCTATTTAAATAGGCAGCCATTTTAAATCTTTCACTTTTAATTACTACCTTGCCGAGTTTGTGTGCACTCCTGTGTCTACGGATTTGGCTTGGTGGGCCTTTGTTTTTTCTCTCCTTCTGCAGGGTCGATGGGCGACATGGAGAAGCTGTTGGAGGGGATCCGGTCGGCAGCTCGAGGACGTGGCGTGGATTGGCTGCGGGCGCAACTTGGACCGGCCCTGGCAGGTGCTGCGGATCCTGAGGGCAGCGGAGGTCGGCCTTTGCGGGCCCGGAGGCCGCCGAGACGGCTGAGCCCAGGCGCGGAGTCCGGTGGGGACGGTACCAGTGGCCGGGCAGCGGCGGGACCAGGCCGCAAAGGACCCGGTAGCCGCATGGTTGAGGCTCCACCTCCCGGCGCGTTACCGGGACGTCGGAGGAGCGGTAGCCGGCGGGCGGCTACCCGGGAGGTGGACGGCACGGCTCCCAGTTCGGGGAGGGCTACGCCTGGAGCGGGGGCCGCGGAAGACATCGGGCGGCCCCCTGGAACCGGAGGTGACACGGGATTGCGGCCCGGGATGGCGTCCCCTACACCCGTGATGGCGACTGGCGGGGCTGGTTCGGGAAGAGCTCGTGGACCGCCCTGGAGCAGGCAAGTGCAGGGGGTTCCGGCCAGGGCCCCCTTGGCGCGGATCAGCGCAGGAGTACTGGGCACGGGGTTCAGAGACCTGGGGGGGGGGATGGAGAGGGGTCAGGTTCCTCCTGGATCGGGGGCAGAGAGGCCTAGGGGGGAGGGTGCGCTGGGTAGTTCCAGGATAGTGAGCGTGGAGCAAGGGCCTGTAGCCGGGAGGGTGGATGGGCCAGGGGGTACGGCGGGGGGAGGTTTGCCATCGGGTGGGGGCAGGAGGTCTAGGTGCGCAGGGCGTTCAGGGCAGGTTAGGGGTGCGGGGTCTGGGGACGGTCTAGAGGTACCGAGGGGAGGGGGTTCTTCTAGCCGGGGGGCCCGCCGGGGTGGGGGGTGGGGATTCCCCCGCGCTGGTGAGCAGCTAGGTGGGCGTAGTACTGGGGGGGCACAGGGTCGGGGTCTGGTGATAGCAGCCCGTCACCGGTTAGGGCCCGGGGGTTCGGGGGGGGTTAAGGAAAGGGCTCGGTGCACTAGGTCCCCATCTAGTAGTTCAGGGGGGGAGAGTGTCATGGGCCTCTGGTAGGAACGGGAGGAGTCGTAGTCCCAGAGGCAGGGCCGATCGGGCCTTGGGTGGGCGAAAAGGAGTGGTCGCGCGACGGGAGGCTCTGGTGTCCAGCGGGCGCTCTCAAGGTCAGGACGGGGGGGCTACTCATGACCAGTATGCTCTGCCCAGGACTTCTTCTCCTTGACGGATGTCGCTCATCCTGGTCGGGGGACAGTACACAACGCAGCCCCAGGAGCTTCGGGAATGAGGGGCTTGGCTGGTGAGTCCTGTGCTTCTCTGCACTCCAGTGCACTGGTTCATACACTTCAAGCGCTTCTCCACTCACTGGGATCGGGGGGTGCCACGAGGGGAGGTGTGGGTCAGGTCTGGGCTCAGGGGGCCGGGGTGGCGGGCCCGAGTGAGATTCCCTCCGCTGAGCAGAGTTCGGGTGGGGACACTGCGACGACGGTTACCGGGGCAGATGCGACGAGCGAGCGGGCTGAGTTGACTGGGGGGGTGGTTCCTGATGCGGCAAGGCAACACGCATATGTGTCGTTTGCGGGTCTGCTGGGCGTCCACCTCAAACAGGAGGTGAAGGAAAAAATCTGGAAGGGTGACTTCTGCAAGATCTTTTCTCTTCTCCCTTTGGAGGATTTTATCGATCTCAAGGAGGACGATAAAAAAGACGAGAAGAAGGAGGAGGAAGAGAAAAAGAAGCGGTTTCGTAAGATTCCTAAGTCTTTCGGTAACTGGCTGAGGGCGTTTTGCGTGTTGGCCAGTGTTCTGGGCGAGAAATCGCCGGGCTTGTGCTCCTCCCTATTTTGTTATTTGGATGACATTTGGGAGGCATACCGCACCTATGGCGGACTGGCATGGTGGCGGTACGACGAGCAATTCCGGCAGCGTTTGACGGCTAATCCGGCTATGCGGTGGGATCAAATGGACCTGCCTCTCTGGATGAAGCTGATGATGGTGCAGAAAGCGCAGCCCTTTCAGCCCACGGCCGGCGCAAAGGGGCAGTCCGCCTCGTCAGCCTTCTGCTGGCTCTTTAACGAGGGCCAGTGCAAATGGGGAAACGCCTGTCGCTTTAAGCACGAGTGTTCGGGCTGCGGAGGCGCTCATGGGCTCAACCGGTGCTTCAAGAAAGGGAAGTCGGGGCATGCCGGAGTCCCTACCGCGGCTGGGGGGGGAGGGGGAGTTTCGCTTGCCCCGGGGCCTAACCCCGGTGAGGCTAGACGCGATGGAGCCGTGGCTAAGCCGCTACAGTAACAGGGCAGATGCCGTGGCGCTCCGGGCGGGGTTTGGACAGGGGTTCTTTATCCCTTTCCGGAACTGGGGGGGGGACAGGGGTTCGGCGCAACCTTAAATCGGTGGCTGAGTTCCCGGGTGTGGTGTGTGAAAAACTGGGCAAGGAAGTCAAGTTGGGGAGGATGGCAGGACCGTTCCCGGCTCCTCCACTGGAGGGTCTGAGGGTTTCCCCACTCGGGGTGGTTCCCAAGAAGGAACCGGGGAAGTTCAGGCTCATTCACCACCTCTCCTACCCAGAAGGGGAGTCGGTGAATGATGATATTGACAAGGGCTTGTGCTCGGTCTCCTACGCATCATTCGACAGGGCGGTCGAGCTGGTACGGAGGGCCGGGCACGGGGCACTAATGGCTAAGGTGGATATTGAAGCGGCATTTAGGCTGCTTCCGGTCCACCCAGCGTGTCATCACTTGCTGGGGTGTTTCTTCGAAGGGGAACACTTTGTGGACTTGTGCCTCCCAATGGGTTGTGCTATCTCATGCTCCTATTTTGAGAAGTTTAGTACCTTTCTTGAATGGGTGGTCAGGGTCGAGGCGGGGAGTGGAGCTGTGGTACACTATCTGGACGATTTTCTCTGCGTGGGACCAGCGGGCTCCCCCGCCTGCCTACACTTGCTGAGAACGGTCGAGTGGGTGGCTAGCCATTTCGGGGTCCCTCTGGCGGCGGACAAAACGGAAGGGCCGGCTCTGTGCCTTAGTTTTCTTGGGCTGGAGATAGATACGTTGCAAGGGGAGTGCCGTTTGAAAAGTTATGGCGGCTGAGGGGGGAGGTGACAGCGGTGGCTCAAGGTTACACTGCGGCAGCTGCAGTCGTTGATCGGGATGTTGAATTTTGCATGCAGGGTGATCCCGATGGGTAGGGTGTTCAGCCGTAGTCTGTCGGCAGTGACGGCGGGGGTGCGATCCCCGCATCACTTCATTCGGGTGTCGTCGGCCATGAGGGCCGACTTGGCCGTATGGGAGACCTTTCTGCGGGAGTTCAATGGGACGGTGATTTTTAGACAGGAGGGCATGTCGGCTGCAGAACTGGAGCTGTTCACTGACGCGTCTGGTAGCGTGGGCTTCGGGGCCTACTTTGGGGGAAGTTGGTGTGCGGAGCGATGGCCGGGGGAGTGGCGAACGAGCCCCCTCATGCGGAACTTGGCTTGGAGCTGTTCCCGCTGGTCGTCACGTTGGCCCTGTGGGGGGATAGGCTGCGGGACCGGAAGGTGGTCTTTTTCTCGGACAATATGGCCGTGGTGCACGCTGTGAATAACCAATCGGCGGCATCGAAACCCGTGGTCAGGTTGCTACGTCATTTCGTTCTGTTGTGCATGTCGCTAAATGTTGTTTTTCGCGCACGCCATGTGCCTGGGTTCATGAATGATGTGGCTGACGCTCTGTCTCGTTTTCAGTGGTCCCAATTCCGGATGGTGGCGCCAGAAGCGCAAGAGGTGGGGCAGGCTTGCCCAGACGAGATTTGGCGGCTTGGGGCGACCTGCTTGGGGGACTTGTGAAGGCTTCGCTGGCGCCAGCCACATGGGCCGCATACAGTAAGGTCTGGGACTCCTGGGAAAGGTCATGGGATGGGTTGGACCGCCTGCCGGCGGGGGAATCGCTCAAGGATGCGTTCCTCTGGTACACCTGGCAATTTATGGTGAAGGGGGCGTCCCCGGCGGTGGTTGACAGGTCCATGGCGGCGATGGCTTTCTGGTTTAAGCTACACGGGAAAGAGGACCTTACTAAGGCCTTTGTCATCAGGCAGGCACTGAAGGGGTACCGACGGGCCGCAGGCGGCCTGACACTCGGCGCCCTGTATCGGTGCGAGTGTTGAGTGACTTGGTCGGTTTATTGCCTAATATTTGTTTCGACAGGTTCGAAACATCGTTGTTCCAGGCAGCATTTCTGTTGGCCTTCTTTGGAGCCTTTCGGATAGGGGAGTTGGTCAGTGCCACGAGGACTGCGGCAGGGGGGGTACAGGTGTCGGGGGTCCGAGTGCTGGAAGGGAAGGTGGTTGTACACCTGGCAAAATCCAAGACGGACATGTTGGGCAAGGGCCGAGATGTGACGCTGCGGGCCCTGCCGGGCTCTGCTTTGTGCCCAGTGGCCGCAGTGGCGGGGTACATGGCACGGGTCTTCCCTCTCCCGGTTCCAGTTCACCAAGGTCTTTCGGTCTGGCCTGGGAAAGCTGGGATTGAGGGCAGATAATTTTGGTACCCACTCCTTTCGCATTGGGGCGGCTACGGAGGCAGCTCGGTTGGGTCTGGGGGATGACATAGTGAAACAGATGGAGATGGGAGTCGGTACGGTTCCGTTCATATGTGCGCTTGGGTTTATTGGAGTAGTATGGTGGAGGTCCTTTGAGGATCCCGGGGGGCTGGGTACGAAAGGGGCTGTTACGATCTGTTTTCTTTTCTCCCCCAGGCCGTGTCGCATGGATCGTGGGCCATTCATTTGTCTTCTGGGCCGAAAGGAGGGCTGCAGCTCGAGCTCAGGGCCACCAGCTGGGTTTTCATCGGGACCAGTTGGCGGTGCAATGATTTGGGTACAGGGGTTTTTGTTGGGGGGAGGTCTGCGGAAGGGTGTTCCGGATGGTTGCAGCCGGGCAACGGCCGGACCTGCTGTTGCTCCATGCGGGGGGCAACGACTTAGGGCTCACTCCGCAGCGGCGGCTGGTGAAGTGGATGAAGGAGGACCTTAACAGTTTAAGGGACCTGCTTCCGGGGGTGATGTTGGTCTGGTCGGAGATTATCCCTAGGAAGCGATGGCGGCACGCTAGGGACCCGGAGGCTATTGACAGGTGTAGGAAGAAAGTTAATAGCTTGATGGCAAGCTTCGTGCGGAAGCTAGGGGGTGTGGTAGTACGGCACAGCGAGTTGGAAGATGGTTTGCCGGGGTACTACCGCTCGGATGGAGTCCATCTCTCGGCTGTTGGTTGGGATCTGTTGACCCTGGGCTGGCAGGATGGCATAACCAAGGCACTTTTTCTTCGGGGTGGCGGAGCTCAGACAGCTTAAGGAGTCAAGGTCTGAGCTTGTGGCGGGATAGGGAGCTGAAGGAGAAGAAATAGGCTCCCTAGGATGAACGTCATGGAGACGTAAAACTGTGGTCATTGGTGGTTGGTAGGTTCCGAGTCCTGTCGGTGACTCAGAATCTGGTGGGGCAGGGGTATCCGGGTATACCCCTGCCATGGTTAATTTATGTTTGGCACTTCAAGTTGGTATGTTGGAATATGTTGATATGTATGTTATATATATATATATATATATATATATGTATATGTGCTATTTATATGGGGGTCATTGCCTGTTATATTAACAGAAGGATTCGGATGCGAGGGCGGCAATGACCCATGTTTATTGTTAAATTATTATTGCTATGGTTATTAATACGGAAATTAATACATTGTTATTATTCAAGATTGTTTTAAATAAAGCTGTGGACAAATTTT